AAACTAGTATTTGGGAGAGAAATGTGTTGTTTGAAATATTGTATCTAATTTTCTGACATCGTTATTAGAGTTGGTATTCACATGGCACATAGAGGATGATTGACTATAAATGTAGCAGTGCAGAACAGGCCGAATTTCGAGTCTCAGTGAAATGAGATCGCGTATCTTGAACTCGCAGGAATTTTCTACGTATTAAAATGATCTTTTATTTGTCTATTGCATTACTCAACTGGCGTTCTCAAGTATTTTTAAACATGTAATTTTATCCAACTCGAGATTTAGACACATATACTTGAGTATCTGGGACAAGTTCATTACGAACCATTGCGAGACGCGCGCGTCCATTTGCCAGCCTCGATCATTACTCTTAACTAAGCCTGACAAGCGCAGTTAAGCAATAGAAACATTTATAAATATACCGTAACCCTTGCCTAAAGTTGTTCATATTGTGTCACGCATGCAGGAAGATTCATGCTTCTTTTATCGCAAACGCAATTATTCAGCGCCTATATATGTAGGTTTTAATAGTTAGAGTAAGATCTTTTTCTTGCAATTCCAGTTAGGCAAAAATTGATAACTTAGTCGATTCTTTGCATCTCAATTGTCACTAATTGCTCCGTTATTATTTTTGTGTAACGTTTCAGCTTTATCCTCAATATTCTCTTATTCAATCGAAAACAGATCTCCATTAGGCTACACCAGACTATTAAACTTTTTACTATAATTTATCGAATTCGAAGCTCATGTAAAGTGTTCATTGATTGTGTGAAGCCAAATGGCAGACGTAGGAACAGAGCTACCTTCCTGTGTTTAACCCTACGAAAAACTACGGGTGAATCAGCGCCGGCCTTTCGTTGGCCACTTACAAACCACCTGTGACTGTCACCAGTGCAGAAATGACGACGAGTAAACGCGAGAGCTGCTACTTAGAAACGAGTCTCGATGCTCCAGCCGACGAAGCTAGAGGACGCACTGACGCTGTGCGTTTCATCGTCGGCAGTCGAGACGGTCGCACGCCATCGGAAGTCAGTAGTACTACGTTGGCTCACGTAAATAATCCTGATCTCACACGTAGAGTTAGTAAAATTTCGAACTGTAACGAGACGACCCACGAAAACGAAGAAAATAAAGGAACGGTTGATAGAGTCACTGAAGGTGAGAAGGGAATTAATTTTCCTTGCGATAATTTATCCGTTAAAGTCAATCCCTGCACTCACAGTCGCCAAGAACAGAGATATTCGCCAATAACGAGCGATTTGTCTAAACAGCCGACAAAAATAAATGAAAAAACTCTCTCTAAAAATATGTCGGACGTCCAGGTAATAGAAAACCACCAAGCTGATTCTTCCGTTAAAAATAACAACAATACCGTGCCTTTAATATGTTCGAACAGAAATGCTTTATTTATTTCTGAAATAAACATCGAACATGAGACCGCACCAGTTCACGATGATGATGCAAATTTGTCAGATTGCTATGCAAACAAAAATTGCCTCAATCCGCACTGTGGAGGCGAACTGAATGCGGGGAGTGAGGTAAAGGGCAACACTTCAAGCAGAAACGAGAATCGTGATAAAGGGGGCGATGAGGAAGGACTCTCCGCTCCCAGACATGATGATAAATCCATTAATTTTTTACATGTTCGTGAAAAGAAGCGTGAGGGAAGGCCAGGTTTCTTGCCCACATTTAAGCCTGATGAGATAAACACTCCAAAGTCCATTGAAAGGATTCCCTTCCAAAAAGAAGTTCGCAATAGGAAGACGTTGGAAAAAAAGTCTACGTCGACCATTGGAAAGAAAATTCGGTCGTGCGAGAGCTCGACAAGTGGCCACGAAACGAGCGCAGCCGAGACTACGACGGTCGCTGTGCCCAAAGAGAAAAAACGAAGTAAATTCCTGAATTCTTTCAACGTTAAAGGCATCCTAAGAAAAATGGAAAAGACTCCGAAACCTGTTGCCCCTGTCTTCGTTGAAGAACATACTGCAAGCGATGGACCTACCGAGCAAACAGACGCTGCGGAGCCTCATGAAGCCTCAGCGAATGTAGAAAGAGACAGCATCGACGAAGCTGCTAATGTTAATCCCATGAATCTTAATGATGAAAATTGTGATGCAGCCTCGTTAAATAACGATGATGATGACGTGTCCTCGTACGACGGAGGGAGTTTTTGCCTGGCTATTAAGACAAGCTACGATCACGCTGTTGGGACAGCCGTTCCACAGCGATTCAACAACGTCGCTTCTTCCAGCACAAAATCGTTTCAAACTTGTAGCAAATCGGACGTTGAGGTTGCCTCCGCGGCGCCATTAACGCAAAGTTCCGTAGGGGAAGCTCGGGGCATAACTGAAATTAGCAGACCAGTAGACATTCATGATCATCAAGCGATGTCAAGTCACAACAACTCAAGCATTTATCCTGAATATTCACAGAATATTGAAGAAGACAAACGTAATAACCATGAAAAAAACAAAATGCTTGTGATTGATGCGACCAGCGTGCCATTTTCCTCGAACATGGCTGGCGCCGACGAGTTCATGCCCAAGCTTCCTAGCCCCGATAAAAATGCCGCAATTTCGGAAGTTTCATCTCCAGGGCTTCAGCAGTCCAGCGGAAATATGCTCGGCTCTTCCGCTGTGAACGAGAAGAGATCGATTCCCCAAACAGGCCAAGCAACGAAAGGCCCGCCTGGGGCATCAACTCGTAAGAAAGTTATAAAAGTTAAGACCGAGGCTAAAGAGGTTCCTCATGCAGCATCTCAAGCAGAGCTCGGTGCGCCTGCGCGGGACAACAGCCCTGGAAACGACGCGAGAAATCCTCTGCCCGCAGCATCGTTCTCGAACGACGCAAAATTCACGAAGATGCAGAATGACGAGTCACGATCAATGTCTGATAAAACAGAAAATGAAAAATTATTGCCCATGGTGTCTACAACCTTGGCCTCCCTCACGGACGAAAAAATGTCACAAGAACAGTTGTCTTCGTCGAGACTGTGCGATGTGTCGACCACAAGTCTAGCAAATATGTTTGCTCCTTCCAGTGCCGTTTCCCGCCCCTTGATAATTCCAACACAAGTACCCACAAATAAAGCAGTTTTTTCTCAACCAAAAATTGCATCTACTGACTTTATTTTTTCTCCGAATGTTAATGAACAAATTAACCCTGGTGTGGTCACTTTTACTGAATCAATATCTTCTCATGTTACCGTTGATTCGAGGAACATTACATATAATCTGCACCAACATTTAATTGATAACGCAACTAATTGTACATCGCCCCTTTTCACTCCCGCATCATCAATCGCTACAAATGCCATAAATGATCCCACCTTGACGGCAGAACACATCACAATCGACTCTACTTCATGCCAATTACTAACTTCTTTACGGGGCTCCGATCAGACGAGAAGTATAGCTGCAAAATCGAGTTCGTTACCGCCAAATGAAGCGCCGAAAACTATTCCAGTGTCCTCTTCAATCTCATCAAACACTGTTGACACCACCGCCCTATCGAACTTTTTATCATCGAATGTCTCTGCGGTTTCGTGGCCCATGATTCCGATGGTCGACCCTCCATCAGGGCTCGAAAGCTCCCTAATAACCCTCCAAATAATTGAACATCTCAAAAGCAGCTCAAGCGATGCGATATCGCCACTTCAAAACTCCTTTAAAGCTCTCGAGACCGTAACTAATTCCACGTCACGCTTCGCTGCTGGACCTGTTACGAGTTCTGACCAGAGCACGTACGTTGGAATGCGTCCAGAAAAACTTGGAACGCTGCCAGCCCTGGCAGCTGAAAAATGTTCAGCTGATGCCAAGAACCTTGAAAATATTGCCGAACAAAATGAGAACACCGCAAATGTTCAGAATGACAGGCAGTCGCACAATTTTACAACTGCGTCTGCTCATGAAGGCAGTCATGCTGAAATTCCAGCACAACTTCTGCTCAAAAATTGTCCCGACGAATCCCACTTTTCTACAGTCGATGGTTCTGAAATTTCTCATAACGTAGTTAAAACACATGATGTGCCCGGTAACTCTTACGCCGCATTTGTAAACATCCGAAAAGAATCGTTGGTGGAAGAAAATTTTGAAACTCTTTCTAACAATGAGCCAGCAACCGAAATTTCAAATAAATGTACGCCAAAACATCTCAAGTTTGGAGCAGATTTTGCAATTTCGACAAATGAAAACAAACGTGCTGAGCTGTTCGACCAACAACTGACGAACGAATCGTTCTCGAAAACAGTAATAGAAACCAAAAAAATGTTCGAAAACTCTCATTCAGATTTGGCTTTGAAATTACATGATCCTCTGGATCATCGAATAAATGCACCTCCGATAAATTCCAGAATTTTTTTGCCGATGGAAGAGGTTTCGTCAGAAAACGGTTCTTTGGCAACGAGTTGTAAGAAATATAAAAATTCTATCGATTCCCTTTCTGGAAAAACGGAGGTAAATCCGTGCCTCAAAAATCCCATAGCATACACTGAAACCGATTCAACAGAGTGTTGCAATACTATGATACCAAATGACAGTGCGCCGCCAGCAACAAACAACGATGAGCTTAGCACAAAAGAGATAGATTTTAACGATTTATCAGTTATATCACTGAATACGAAGACGAAAGATAATCTTTTAGACGCGAGGGAAACTTCGTGTGATCAGTCGACGTTACCATGTGATGGGAGCGAATTACTTGGTGATTGCATTTCAGAGCATCGTAAATCAATTTCAGATGCTTCTTCTATGCACACACAATTTAATAACAACGATGCAAATCACACACAAGCACCCAAGAAGGACGGAGCAGATATTTCACAACGATCGACATTGCCATGTAACATTTCTGAATCTCATGTCGAAGATTCAGCTCTATTTGACTGTCCTGGTACTTTGGCACCTGACTCAGAAGTTCAAGAAAACCCAACAATACAATTTAATGAAAACCAAAAAGCCGCGACTAGAGATATATCAGACTTCAACAAAAGTGGGTTAGATCTGCCAGCACTCAGCAAAAGTGGGTCAGATCTGCCAGCACTCAGCAAAAGTGGGTCAGATCTGCCAGCACTCAGCAAAAGTGGGTCAGATCTGCCAGCACTCAGCAAAAGTGGGTCCGATTGTTCACCCTCAGCCTGCGACGACGTGCCAGTGAGCGAGTCAAACCGCTTCACCAGAGCCATGCACCGCCAGAACAAGCATCTCCTCTCAGGTGAATTACGCATCACTAACATTTCCATATATCATCTCTTGAATTGACAGCCCTTCATTAATTTTGAATAACTATGAGCTTCTTCATTCTTTCAATATTGTTAGATATTAATATGTATTAATATACCTATCGGTTTAGATATTTATTGCTATTGAATACATAAATAAATCAAATCTGAGCGCGTATCGACCAGTTTCCCGTCTAAAGAATAGGCCTATCCAGGCCTATTCTTTAATGCCGAAAATACTATACTAATGTGAGCTCGTTGCTCATACAGTGCAGCGTTCCCTGTGTCTCAAAACCAAGCCTTGCTACGCGCTCTTTGATTGCTTCATAATTCCTACCAATGCATTCAACCAACAAGAAAATATAAATGGTCGGAAAGGCACTTGAAAAGTCGCTTTTTACTGTTGCTTACTTGGAATTTTGGTTTAGAAGACTGCGTTTTTTAACACAACAATTTTTTTTTCGAGGTAAGTTGATACATGGGACGGATATTGAGAAATTAATTGCAATGTAAACGTGTCTCTTGAAGTTTCGTTTTTCGGAGACCAGGCACGGAAATTGTTTTGTCAGGTAGAGAGTTTTTTTTTTCCATGACTTAGCTTGAGTGATTTGTACATTCATACAATAATTACTGAAATGTATTCTCTCATTTTCGTAGAATTCTATTGAAATAGAAAAAGCAGAACAATGAGTAAAAGTCCTTACATATACACAAATCGAAGAAACAAATCGTTGAACAATGTGACAAACTATTAAAAAGATGTAAATTGTAATTAAATACTACTTATTTTTCCAATAGAAGGTTCTCAACTGACTGTATATTGAAAATATTAAATCTTCCTCATAGTGTGAACAGATCTAAGGAGAATTCTATCAAACTTCTTTTAGATGCTTTATTTTTACCTCTATTCAAGCGTTTTCCTATTGCAGTATAGCATAACCATTGCTTTTTCTTGTGAATTGTGTACAAATTTAGGGTTTTCATAAAAATCGCAGCGATTTCAAATTCAAATTTAACATAAGAGTATTTCAAACTTTATCGCACAATAAATGTTGCATAACAATTTTTGAGTGCTTTTGATTGAACTTAAATATTTTCAATTCTCATCTTAGGCTTCAATTCTGAAATTAGCATTGGTGTATTCATGACATTTGAAAGATTTCCTGAACATGACTGCTAAAAGCTAAATTCATTCTAAACACAACTGTTCTAGTCGATCCCACTATAAGCAAATTGCGTGGCAATTTTCTAATCTTGAATCATGCCAGTCTTCATCAGCATGCGTCGGCTTTTTAGGCTTTGATGCAGTTAATGTCACTTTTTCCACAGATGCGAATTAAAACGTCTTTTAAATTCGATTTCATTTGATCTCTTGTCTATTTAAACTTCCAGCTCACCTTTTTAAGCTATAAATTCTTTTCATTTCTAAATTATTTTCAGATTATTCTAAAACCGAACGCCATAGTTTATTATGATTTAAAACCTGTATTGAGTGCATTCACTTAAACTTATTCGCTGTTGAAATTTTTAATTATTCCTTGCATTTCTTGTATATCTTGATCTCCTTCACATACTTTACTTTCATCGTTACTTTATAAATGTCGTTGGCGCTCTCGCCGCATTTTAGTCAGATGTCAGTGTTGCAACTCACGGCACGCGCGCCCACAGTATTTACACTACATAAAACGCGCCGCCGCCGCCGGCCAACGCGTATATTGCCGGGGCGCGAAAGTCGTGCGTGTCGGCGATGCTTGCGAGGGTAGGTCTTGGGGGGACCGAACTCGCCGACTCGACGCCTCCCCCCGACACTTGAAGCTTTTTCATCTTGACATGCCCATGACTCGAGTCTTCTGCAATTCTTCAACAGCTCCACGTCTTGACATCGTCATGACTCAACACCCTTGCATCGTCTCGACACCCTTACCTGGGGTTACCTTTCCCTCAGCCCCCACCCTTGGGGTAGCGTGGGGTGTTGTGGGGATGTGTGCACCCAAGCTTGGCAGAGCGCCGGAGCAATACCAGCTTGACAGCTCCCGCACTTTGATGTTGCAGCGTCTCAGGCGTTTTATTGGCACCTTCTGCCTTGCCTAGTCTTTCCTTACCTTATTACTGCATTCCGTAGCCTCTCTTGCCTTCCTTTATTGTCAATTTTCATGGCAACGTCTTTTTTTCGCTTACATCTCTTTGACCTTCTCCTCCCATCATTATTCTGCCTTCTACATGACTTTCTCTATTTATGTTTGCCTACGTTTCCCCGAATTTTCTCTTGCATGCGTTGCTATAGCCCGCATACGTTTCCACTGACAGTTCTTCATCGTTACTAGTTCGATCTTTTCTTTGCATGACTCAAAAATGTTAATGATGTAAGTCAGTTCTGTGTATAAACGTGGGCGTGGTGGGTTCATGCGTCCGGCCATTGCGTATTTAATTGTTTAGGATTAACGGCGTCGGATTGCTTTGATCATTTGATCCCCATTTACACGGAAATATCAAACACTTCAATTTATTTCTTACTTGTACTTCGTTTTTAATTGGTTTTTGCAAATTAATTATTACTGTTACGAGTTAAAATTTGCTTTTGATCGATTTTGCGAATTCTTTTCAATTCATACTTCTTCACGATGAAGTTATTCATTTAACCTCAACTTTCTATCTCAAACCCTGAAGTTTTTATTCATCATTGCAAATGCTTTTTAATATAATCATAACGGACTAAAACTTTCATCGAGTACAAAAAATAAATTATTAAAACTACTAATATTCACAATAAAAATTAATACAAGTAAAAAGAAAATTTTTTCAGGGTTAATCTTAATTTTAAATGATTAACTGTGTTGTTCTATTCGTCGTAGATTTTTATATCGGCCAACGACCAATTTTCCCATTTTGATGTACTAAGAAATATTATGATTAGTTCTTATTAATATTAATAAAAATAATAATAATTATTATTATTATAATTATTATTTCTTAGTACATCTTATGTTACATTTCTTATTACTAAGTAATAAGAAATATTCTTCTTATTACTAAGTAGTAATAAAAAGTAACTTGCATCATACGAATTCGTCTACATTGAACAAGTAATTCAATGACATCCCTCACTTCGCCGACCAAGTAATAAGAAATAACTTGCATTATTCGAATTTGTCGACATTAATCAACGTAAATTAATGACATGCCTCTTAATCGTCATCGTACAATTCATGGTCACCGTTTTAGTGGCTACACAAAGTGTAGCAGAAGAAAATGTGGTGTCAGAGATACTAAACGCGTGGTATATTGCAATATTATCCTCAACCTAAACGCACATGCATGTTCCCAAATCCCGCTCTCACCTTATCCACGTCGCAGAATTTTACAGATTTTGTGCTACATTCCACGCAGCTTTACGTCACATGATCCTAATTTCAGCCTTTAGAAATCGTAAATCGTAGCTTATCTGCGCGCTAAAATCGCCGAGTCTTTGTCTTGCGAACTCGCCCCACATTATTCAAGAGTTTGTCACTTTGCTCCCGTTTCTGCATACTAATTATGCCATTTTACCCGCCAGTTAGCGCGACATTCACGCACATTAGTCAGGTTGGACGTCAGCTCAAAGCCTTCTTTTGTTCCCGCCTCTTCTTTAAATACGTCTTGTTGACCCAAATGTTAATTATGCACCATGCGAATTAATTGCTTTCCTGGTTGTATTCAAGTTTTCATTCCTATTGTTTCAATTAGACTTAGCATCATATGCTGCCTCCGATACTTCGGTTTTAATTTTGAATTATTCTTCTATTATATGAATATTCAGAATTACTATATCGATATTCAACCGCGAATTGAATGAATGTATGGAATTGTAAAATGAGTAACATAACTCAAAACATTTAAGAACTCCTAACTCAAAACATTTACGTCGGCTAACATTAAAAAGTCCGAGTAACCTATTGTCAGATACAAAAGCAATATGATATCCTGATTCAATTTGCCTCCGCGTATTTTTCGAACAAACTTCACCAATCGTGCGAAAAGAATTCGCCGTTATTATCAGAATAAACTAGCCATCACCCAGCAAAATTTTCAGAATCCATCTCATGTAATTGCGTTACGAATAAAAATTACAACCAAGAACTAAAAGATGGGCTTATGGCTAAAGCCGCAAGTTGTATGCACAGAAATATGATTTACGATCATGATTTACGACCATCGTGATACTTTTCGAGGTGCTAACGCCATTAAATTGAGAGCTGCGGAGTATGCGCGAGCGATCAAACGTTGACGACGTAGAGACCGTGCCAAACATTTGCCGCGAGAGTGAACTGAAGTGACAGGTGGATGTCAACCAATGTGATAGCAATCCTGTGATCTCACGGTCTGTGATCCAATATTATGATCAGAATATACATGGTATCTGCTACCAAGATCCAAACGAGAAGGTCCTGTATCATCCCATAGACTTATCCCTTTTTGATCCCGATATAAGGGAACCAATGCTCCAATAACAGGATGTGAGGGCCAATATCAATGCCCCTTCTGCCGGCCAGTGCTCCAACCTAACTAGGTATAAAGATGCTTTCACCGTCGTGCGTAAACTGCTTTTGAATGTTCTTGAGTTCTTTCAGCACAAATCACATTCATCGACATGTGGTTATGTTGTTCCAAAAACAATTCTTTGGAGCAATGCCTAATTAATGTCATATATAACTATGATCTATGTACTGATCGGTCAGTCCAATTTTCAATAATTGTTGTGGTCAAATCTTCTTTATAATTGGCGAAACAGCTGCCTCGCTCTGCCGTGCTTGCTACAAGAAGCTTAATTAGCGGCGCATTCTTTGGCTGGCAAGACGATGTGCTGCGTGGCGATCCTAATAACTCTCACGGCTGCGTGACACGCGAGGCGTGTCTAGCTTAAGCCTCGTCCACGCGTTCAAACTTATCGTCAGTCTTGCATGTCATACCAAGTTTGACATGCAAGACTGACCGTGTGGACGCTGGATGACTGTCTTGGTCCATAGTTTCCTGCAAATACCGGTCCGACCTGCAGAAAATTTATTGTAAATATTACAAACGTTTTAATCTGACGTTTATTCAATTAATACGTCGAGAATTGATACGTTAAAAGTTCTAACGAAATAAGATCTTTATAAGTTAGTTCACGGGACAAATTACCTGGCAGCTGCTTTTATATAATGACAAGCCTTAAGTGCTTCACTTTGGTGAGGATTATAAAGAAAACAGACTCTAAATTTTTGTGGAACTAAATAGCAGACTGCAGTACTCTATATATATTGAAACACAAATCAATATTTTTAAAGCAAATAAACTGCTTGACTAATTAGACACTCCTAAGAATAATGTATGAAGCTGTTGTTCTTCACACAAGTGCTATCTCACCTAAAATTTGACACCGTTACGTGGTCAAGAATAATTGCTTACAGCTAGGAAAATTTTGAGCTAAAGACTAGTCTTATGAATAAAAATTAGAGCTCATGTAACTTCCTAGTCTGTGTTATACCGACGTCTCCGAGACGATCTTCTTGAAGGGTGCAAGTATAAAAGAGGTAATAAAGATTCCTGAAGGATTACTAGAAAATGAAGTAAGAGTACACTGTAGATGGCACGGTAATATACCGAAAAAGCTTACAAAACATTATTATAATTACATTATTATATTTTATACATTATAGTTACATTATTTCATCTCGTATCGTGTCACCGACATGTTGAACAGACTCCCTGATGGCATCGTGAACGCTTCGAGTCTGAACGCGCTCGAGAGCAGGCAAGGCATGTGAGGCGGCGTATGTTTAGACTAGATGTATATCTCCTACCTTTCAGGCATGATGAAGGTTAAGTAACTATTTAGTTAGTTACTGTTAATTAATTAAGTTGAAAACTGGTCAACGAAATTTTGAGAGAACTGGTCAACGAAAAGTTTTGATATTTCCCGTAGACAAGCCCAGAACATTGCAAGAATCAACGACAAGCTATAATCCGTCAACTCCTCAACGCCAACATTTCATTACTATATTTATTTGTTCTCAAATGCACTTATAGAATACTATTAATTGTAACTATGTACCACCTATGTATCAATTATGTAACACGTGTTCCGTAAAAAGCATTTTTGTCACGATAGACGAGATGTATGGATAGGACTTTTGGTTGCATGTCAGTCATGAAGTGGTGACTTGTTGCAGTTCTGCCGATCACTTTATACCAGTTGACTTCTATTGAAATATCAGGTGTTAGCACCGCGGATTTTCTTCGCGTTTATTCCTTTATCCTGAGAGTTGGTGTGTCCGTAAACTATTTACGTAGATCACCAGGAAATCGTTGCACTTCAAAATAGTGACAGGATTTGACGAAGCGAGAAGTCGGAGATATAAAGAACTCAATACTTGTATAAGGGATTGCTGAGTTGGCTTTATGGTCGATTTGTTTATGTAAACTTCATCCCCAGATAGTTCGTATGTATAGCAACATAGTATACATTGTTCACTGATGACGCGTGTATTTCTGCAATAATTCATTCATAGGATATGGAAACTATTACATGGTATCAATTGTACTGCTGGACAATGTTTTTTTACGGAAAACTTCAATATTACTGAGAGGAGCAATGTAAAGTATCGGGCTCGTGTTATTGAATCTTGAAGAAGTTAACAAGCATGTAATAATAAGAAAGTTTAATGTATTTACTTATATATGAATTATATATGATATAAACCTTGAATTTTATATTCACGTAAATTAAAAATCCAAACGCGATGGTCGTTAAAGAATTGAAATCTCGTTTTTCACAATTCCTCAAGCAGTTTTTATCTACCCTATTATCAATTACAATACATTTGTGTGATGTTTTCTTTGTTGAATACTGTTTTTTCATATTTGGAATTAATTATTCATTCCCGTCTGATATATCACAAGATTTCTTTTTTTCTTTTCCAGCCATCAGCTGCCTTGGCGACCTGACTGAACATATCAGCCAGTTCTTCGGCTCCGGAGAGTCTCTACCCTCCAGCTCCGACAGCAGCAATTCTAACTTCACAGCCTCGTCTTGTCCCAATTATAGCTCCAAAAATACCGAATGCACCAGCAACAAAGCTTCACGTATCATCCATAACAATATATGTTACCCACAATTGAAGTTCTCGACGGATCGCAAACCTTTAATTTCTCCGAAACCTCATATTGAAGAATCATCACCTTCACCTGGAGATACGAATTATGCATTAGCTGGGCCATTAATATCATCGTCAGTTGATGCATTATCTGGGCCATCAATATCATCATCAGTTGGTGATGGTTTAGGTAGCACCCCGAACTTTGTGTCAATTATTGGGTCTAAATCATCAGCATCAATATCATCTCCTACACCTCAAAAACTATTGGCTCTTGCCTCAGCTGCACCAGCACTAGTATCTGTCCAAACTGCCTCTACACCAACTGCCTGTGCCCCTAATGCCCCTGCCACACTTGCCTTAGCACCACCTGCCTCAGCGTCCAACAAGTTCCTCCTCCCCGACGACGGTGATGGCCGCCGTCAAGCGGTGGCTGCGTCCGTAGAGCTCATGCGACATCTGCTTATCGAGACTCAGGTTCGTTCCATGTTCAATTCGCTTACCAAATCAACACATTGTATTCTTTCTATAGTTCGGACACTCTTCTTATAAAGAAAACTACCAACACGTTCCAGATAATTGCGTTGAATGCAACACAATACCTACAGTATATTACCGAAGCACGACTTACGTATTTATTAAAAAAGAAAATAAAGAAAATTTAGATTACGGAGGATTGATTTGTTTCAAGGTTCCTTCCGTCTATCTTTTTCTTCGTCTGCCGTTAAACTGCACTTAATTAGCACTGAAAGAAACTTTTGAACCGGGAACCAGTTTTTAATTGTAATGTGTTATTTGCCTATATGGAAACTGTTATCCACGATCCTACGAAAATTTAGATTCCAGATTTCGACTAAATAAACCTCATCATACAACCGAATTACCCAAGCAAAAATACTCCTTCTGAATGGCTATATTAAAATTTCCCAAGAATTAGCCATGTCAAATATACCCTAGAATTTTTTAGCAAGACTTTACTGCGATAATTATGTACTGAATCTTTAAGAAGCGGATTTCCTCACAAAATGACTGAAAAATTTTATAGTATGTACGATTGGTCTTCGATTGATGATTCATGCATTTAACTACACATTTAAGTTATATGCTAAATTGTATTTTTATCATGTTAGTCTCTCAACATTAATATGAACCACCTGCCTCGGCATCAGGACCAGCTGCGCAAGATGGTGGACGAAAACCAACAGCTGGCGATGCGAATGGACGGCGACCTGCAGGCTGCCCAGCAACAGGTGGTGACGATGTTGTGGTGATGTGGTGCTGTGATGTTGTGATGTGGTGCAGTGAGGCTGTGATGTGGTGCAGTGATGCTGTGATGTGGTGCAGTGATGCTGTGATGTGGTGCAGTGATGCTGTGATGTGGTGCAGTGATGCAGTGATGTGGTGCAGTGATGCTGTGATGTGGTGCAGTGATGTTGTGATGTGGTGCAGTGATGCTGTTATGTGGTGATGTACTGATATTGTACAGTGGTGTTGTTATGTTTGATGATATGGCTCTGTGACAGTACAGTGCAGTGATGCTGTGTTGTGATGTTGGACGATGTGGTGCAGTGCAGTGATGCTGTCTTGTGATGTTTGATGATGAGGCGCAGTACAGTGATGCTGTATTGTGATGTATGGTGCAGTTGTGATGCTTTGGCCTTTGTTATGCTTTGTTACGTAGTCTCGTTGGCATGGCATTGTGGGGTAGAGGTTGGGTGTATGTGACACTGTGATGTTTTGATGTTACACCGCGAGATGTTCTGCCCAACAGTGATGCCCTCATCGTTGTGTGATGCATACTGCACCCCTGATGACAAATATCGTGGTCTAATGTAATATCTCATCCCCCAATCCATACAAGAATTCTTGGGAAGCTGGTTCAAGAGAATTTTATAGTTTCCCACTGCGGATACCGTAATTCATAAACACATCTTGACTTTAGATAGATAGTCTCGAAAATGCTGTTAATATCCTATACATCAAGCTTCGATCTCAAGTCCAAGATTCAAATACAAATTGAATTGAATGTATTGAATTATACACGACGGCTGTATTTGTGCGCATATATTCAATAGCCCAGATCTGTTATTCGATTCAATTGCTTTTCAGGTGCGAGAACTACGACACGACTTGCAAGAAACCAAATCAAAAATCACACAAATGCAATCATTCTCTTCCTCCCCACACCTTTCTTCCTCCTCTTCCAGCTCTCAACGCCTCCCCATCTCACAGTCAAAGATCCCTAGCTCGGTCACTCGAAATTCCAGTCCTAAAAATTCCAGTAAAATCCCCGTGAATGTGAGTAAATCCTTCCCCTCTGATGGGGCTGGGCTCAAACCCAGGAGCCTCTCCGCGGAGGGAAGGCGGAGAGGAAGGGCACAGGAGAATGGGGACGTCGGGGACTCGGATCAGAGCAGTGGGAGTGAGTCCACGAATTATTATTAGAGAATTTCAGGATGAAACTTTTATTCATTAAAAATCTAAGCCTCAACTATTTTACAAAACTTGTCTTAATTTGTACTCTCAATACGGTTTTCGATATCATGATCAATTATGTGTAATGCACGAATACATTGAACCAAATCGTCTTCAATCACATGAAAACGTATCGGATTTATAATATATATTTGAACAGATAAAATAATGATAATATAGGATTGAATGGAAATGAAATAATTGTCAAACTCCCCAGCAGGCAGTGTGGAGCCGTCGTCGCGGTGTCGGGACGGCGGCAGCAGCACAGAAAAAGCAAAGGGCGCCTCCGTCAGAAAAATCAGCTCCGCCTCCACTGCGTCGGACGGATCCAAGAGCGGCATCCCTGACGCAGGTGACGCTGTGCTCCGACACTCAGAACTTGTTACGGTCACCATAAGTTCAGGGTTGTCGTAAATCTATTAAAATAACTACGACGGTAGTTATTTTAATTACTCGATGCAAAATTTGCTGCAAGAACCACACTTGAACGTTAGTAGATGATCTATTCGAAACTTAATTTCTCCTCATTTCTGAAGTTCGGCTTATGTTGCCCTCCAGGCATATTTAAAAACTAATCCAAGTTAGTGTCGGATGACGTTCGGACGTTTATCACTAATCTATTAGCATGTGAGGTTCCTTCAGAAGGTGGCCTGGGTATAGCATGCGAATCAAGGTAAAAAAGAGGTATCAAAAAGATTAATTAAAGATTCGAACGTTGATGCGGTTTAGGGGAATCATGAGCTTTCTTCAAGCTCATGAGTCCCAAAGATTGTCATTAAAAAATTTTGTACCGATTTTAATAGGTGGGGACGCCCATACCAAGCCTCCTGAAGGAGGTGAAGCTGGTGACTCTCCCGTGAAGGGGGACTCGTGTACTAATGACGGCACTGCACCTGCTAGAGCACCTGCTGCACCTGCAAGTGCACCTGATGCCCACCAAATGACTCACCTCGTCACCGAATTGTGTCATGCAAAGGAGGCACTTGCAGGTGCGTTGAAACTCAGTTGGAAATGTTGGATTTTTTGGTAATGTTTTCCATTTATTTCGCATGATTATAACTTATGATTTTAAGCAAAATATTTATGTTGCTTCATAACTTTTACATATTTTGTTTCCCGAAGTGGTGATGGGCTCAATTATTTTCGCGAGGCAGCGGCTTGAAGCCAGAGGCCTCTAAAAAGTTAATCATACCGAAAGTCTTTTCGCAATTCCCGATAAAATTTTAATCAGAAACTGCGAATTGCAGGCTTATCTTAACAAATACTCATCTCATCATATGACCTCACTGCTTGGCTTCATAGAACAAATGACATCTAGGAAAGCTCCTGTGTAAGAAACTTATGATCTCCAAAATATTGCCTCTTCCTGCAAAGCTCACGCCATGTTTCAGAATCACCGTTTGTCAGATCGTATACTAAAAAAATGTCATCGCATTCGCCCGAACTGTTTATAATTCCTGCCACCCATGCCTCACAACCAACAATTTTGTTAATTTTATCCTTGATATCATTAATATCACTAGGAACATAGTACGTGACAACAACATGTTCGTCGCTGATATTCACGGGAATCTCAACAATGGATGTATATGGATAATTCATATGTAGGACGAGAGACTCGAGCCGAAATTCGGTGGTGCGAACATCGCTGTTTATCGCACGGGAAGGAACGCCTGTTGCCGATGCTGCCACAGTTGCGACTAGTGACGTTACAGCGAATAAATATGTAAATTGTTTTGTATTTCAGCTTTAAAAGCGGACCGTAAACGTTTGAAGACCGAGAAGGTGGACTTGCTGATGCAGATGAAGCAACTTTATGCCACACTTGAGGACAAGGAAGCTGAACTTCGGGACTTTATCCGCAACTTTGAACAGGTCGGACATGGGCAAACACTGGCGAGGAAAGAACTTTGTGTAGTTCTTTTTGAACAACAGTTAATTCTAGTAACTTTATAGAAATATAAAAAGAAAACAGAGATTACTGTTTTGAAAATGAATGGAAACTCTTGGAATTTTTGTATCTGAAATTGCTTTAGTCTATTCTGATATAATGAGATTATACCTTACCGGCTGCTGACTCAGAGTTATAGGGGGCAAAATTTATTCCTTATACCTTAAGCGAAAATGTTCACTCATCATCCACTCCTGTGTCACTATTTCCTGTTGGCTTTCATGATCAGCGGATGGTGGAAAGCGAGGAGAGTGAACGGAGACTGAGAGCGGAGAGGGAGGCGGGGGAGAGGGAGAGGTGGGGCCTTCTTAACAGACTCGGAGAGGAGAGTGACAGAGCAGCGCGCTTAGTGGCTACGCTCACTGCCAGGGAGAGGGAGCTCCAGAGGGTGAGATATATTCATGAATAATGCACAACTCTGACCAATTAATCAGGAATAAGCTTTTGGGATAAACTGAGGGGAGAAAATTGAATTTATAGTACATTTTGAAGCATGCAAATTCAGTTTTCAGGTCGGAATGTCAAATGTTAAACAGTTAAATTTTCTTAACCCTTTATCTGTGGATAAATTAAATGTCGTCAAAGCTATTCGTAAGTAAAGGCCCGGGACCAAGAGGTCCCGTCATTAATCAGAGGGCTAAATTTTTTTTGACGGAAGAAGGTTACACGGATATACGAACATTCTCTGCTAGCAAGTAGTGCTCCTACACTTGTGTTTGCTCCCGACAATCCGGCTATGAACTCTCCGTAACCTTCTCTCGAAAAGGTCTTTGGCAGGGCAATGATCACTTAATTTTCAAGCATTTTCATTCGCTAATTTTTTTTGTTTAATTACATCTATTATAAGTTTAAACCCATGCAAGACCCCTAAAAGCTGATGCACGCGCTGCCCCTGCAGGTGCGTCAGCAGCTCGCGAGCCTCGGCTACCACAGCGACGGTGACGCCTCCTTCAGGAGTAACAACAGCTGTCTTGCCTCCACCACTTCCCCTCCAGTGCCTTCCCCTCCACCCAACTCCAGTGCCCTCACCCCCTCCACTAGTGCCCCCCTTCCTTTATCCTCTTCCTCCCCACACCCCATCACGTCTTCAGCCAGCGCCCCCACCACCATCAACTCCACCCCCAACGGGCGCGGCTCGTCAGCGGACTCCGGAGTGCGGCTCTCGTCCGACCGCGACTCAACGGCCAGCCATGAAGGTGTGAACCATCACCAACCTCGCTCGGGTTCTCCTAATCTCTGGTTCATGACTCGGGTTCATGACCTCACTCGGGTTCACTTTCCACTCTGGTTCATGACCCTCTCTCGGGTTCACTTTCCACTCGGCTTCACTTTCCACTCGGGTTCCCCTTACTCTCTGGTTCATGTCCTCACTCGGGCTCTCTTACTCTCTAGTTCATGACCCTCTCTCGGGTCCCCTCTACTCTCTGGTTCACGACCCTGACTCGGGTTTACTTTCCACTCTGGTTCATGACCTGAACTCTGCTTTGCTGCCACTCCGCTTCACGACCCTCACTCTGGTTCACGACTCTGATTCTGGTTCTCTTAGGAGTAATTTTCCCTCCACTTGTGATATTCCATGTTATTAGAAACCATTATGCTTAAGGTAACAGTCGCGAAAATTAAGAAAACTAACGTTGTAAAGCTCAGCACCTGAAATGCATTAATTTACGAGATGCTCGAAATTGAAACTCAACTCGTCAAACATTCACTGTTATAATGAATTTTGCTAATTTTTTCGGAGGCAACTAATGAATTACTGGAGAAAAATCTCATGTTCCGCCAGAGTATAAGAATATAATTATAACACATCGGTGGGTGATTATAACTTATAGGTGATTATATAATTATAACGTTTGGTGGGGCCAAACGTATCGTACCAGGTGCGCACTGCACCTGCAACCTGTCATCCAATGCGCCATTTTTAAATGCTTCCAGCGAAGTAAATAAATTGGCATCAAGACAAAATTTTGCACCGATAAATATGCGAATCAATCAAAATAATTAACTGGCGATTATTTTCATGAAAGAAAATTAAAGATTTCATGACTATCCTCAGGTTAAATATAATTTCTAAAGTAATTTAAAATTGATATTTCTGTCAAGAGTCTTGTCATGAGCTGCACCAGAAGTCCGCACGCGGATCACAAATCTTTCATGACTGTCCTACTAAGATCATTTGATTACTTAAATTGTAAATTCACCATGAATTTCAAAGCAAAAAAAAAAAAAAAAAAAATTCGTCCTATCTCTATAGCAGAAAACTTTTTTGAATGAAGCTCCATCGTTAGTAGTTCAATAATCTCGGATTGCATGTAAGATAAATTAGGAAATCAACATTCCCGTTCTGTGTGTTTTCCATGAATGTTTTAGGGTAAATTCTTAAATCAAAATTAACGTTCTGTGTGTTTCCCACGAATGTTTTTAGTAACGCGTACATGATTGCAGGCCCGAGCACATGCACGCCTCCGAAGGACCCGTCCTGCATATACGCCACTCCCCACATGCACAACAACAAGACGAACAACACCCACGGGGTTGCTGCTAACCCCTACCACACCACCTCCCTCTACTCGACCTCTCCTCCACACAACCTCTCTTACTCGACCTACTCCTCCTCTCCTCCTCCTCTTCCTTGTCTGCCTCGTAACGGACACCTGGCGGAGGGCGGCGTGCCTGCCTACAGCAGCAGCGCCCTCTACGGGACGGGCAGGCCGGGGGGCAGCGACACCCCGAGGTCCCTGGGGGGCCTGGGGAGCGAGGGCAGCAGTGAGGGCTGTGACTATTCCGGCCCTCGCATGGGCAGCCTCTACAGCTCCTGCAACACACCATCCTCTGACAGGTGAGTGTTGCATGCAACAGCTCCTGCAACACACCATCGTCTGACAGGTGAGTGTTGCACGCGACAGCTCCTGCAACACACCATCCTCTGACAGGTGAGTGTTGCATGCGACAGCTCCTGCAACACACCATCGTCTGATAGGTGAGTGTTGCACGCAACAGCTCCTGCAACACACCATCGTCTGTTAAGTGAGTGTGGCCAATATCATTTACCGAAGTGTTAGCATTGGACACAACACTTGTGTTGGTTACATATTTTTAAATACACCATCTGACAATAGGTAATTTATATTTAATTATTTATATATAAATTATAGCTCTTGCGAGCAACAACTTCATGTCTTTCAATAGGTGAGTATGGAGGTAGCGTCTGTAGCAGGATTCCTAAATTTTTAATGCAATGATTAGCGATGGTCAAATTCCGATTTCCTCGGTCGATCCTATGCATCAATTCATATAACAAATTTATTCATGTATTCCAAGACACTAATCTATTGCTCAAATCGCTGAACTTTTATTTTGCATAAGAATGTAATAGCACAAATTTATCATACGGGAAGATATGATACATAACTGAACACAATGTCCTTAATTTTACCAAAAATATTCGCTCTGAGACAACGAATTTTCCCTCGGGATGAGCCCTGCCATACCGCTTAGGTACACTACACATCTGTCACCCATTTTTCTCATGCAATTTCAAAAATTGTTAATGCTACATAGCTTTCAGTTCACATTCTCTGAATTACTGGAAATTTGTTGTAGTGCCCGCGTTCGTTGCTCAACAATACCTCGTTCATATTGCTACCAAATGGCCCCTTTTTTTTGCTACCAAAATTTTCTCCGTACGTCTTACTCAGAGGTGTCATCGTGAGATGTCCTTCTTTTGAACTGCTTAGAAGTAACCTTACTTCTAACAGTTTGTGTTACTCAGAAGTGTCCCCCGTTTGTGTTACTCAGAACTTCAGAAGTGTCGTTTGTGTTGCTCTGAAGTGTCCCAATTTGTGTTACTCGGAAGTGTAGCCGTTTGAGTTGTTCTGAAGAGTCCCTGAATGTTTTACTCATATGAGTATCCTTTTGTCTTGCTCTGAAGTATCCCCGTATATGTTGCCCTGAAGTATCCCCATGTATTTTGCTCAGAAGTGTCCCCGTATGTTTTACTCAGAAGTGTGCGCGTGGGTCTGAGCCAGTCGACAGAGCAGCTCTGCAACACGGTAGCGGAGGCAGCAGAGCAGGCGCTGCAGCAGGCCAGGTCTGAGAGGCTGTACGGCAACCCTGCGCCGTTGAGTCTCTCGTCTTCCTATTGCACTCTGCCTTTCTGTCCTATAACTTAGCCCTGTCCCTTTGTTCCATCCTCTGTCCCTTCCCTTTGTTCCGTTCCACTTTCCCATCTCTCTGTCTTTTTCCTAAATCCCTACCCTTTCTCACATCCTACTTTCCCGTCCCTCTGTTCCGTTCCTCTGTCCTGTTACTCAGCCCCGTTGTTCTGTCGCTCTCTGTCCTTTTTTCTCAGTACCTTCACTGTGCCATTTTCTCTGTTCCGTCCCTCTGTCCCGAAACTGTAGGAACACCCATTGTATCCAGTAAACCTCTTCTTCGATTAAACCAATCCTAAGAATAACTCTCTTAGCTTAATTGAATTAAGTTGGTGAGGTAGTGTTATCCTGCTTAGCAGGACTAATGTTATAACCTCCACGTAAGTTCAAAATCATCTTTATGGAGCGGTTTAATCAGCTTAATAACATTGGATTGTGGTCTTCTTTGCTCATTTTATTCACTCCAATAACGCATTGTACTCATTTCCGAAATACTATGCAATCGCCTGAAAACGCAGAGCCATCATGTCCATAATTGAAGATAATCTTGAAATTCCTAACTCTTGGTGGCCCCCAGCTCTGGTGAGGCCCAGCAGACGGCGGCACCGAAGGCAGGCAAGACGAAGGGCGCCTCGATGACCCTCTCGCGCAGAACGCAGAGGGCACTTGGAGGGGGAGGAGGAGGAGGAGGGGGCACCTGGGGCAGCATCTCCAGGGTGTTTGCCAGACAGAAGAAACGAAACCCTCTTGACACGACGCTCTATGATGGTGAGCCATTAGGACCCGGCTCTGGTCGTTGATGGTGATGGTGATGTGAGGAAGTGGTGGTTGTTTGCTTGATGGTGATGTGAGGAAGTGGTTGTTAATTGGTTGATGGTAACGGTGATGTTAGGAAGTGGTTGTTAATTGGTTGATTGTGATGGTGATGTGAGGAAGTGGTTGTTAATTGGTTGATGGTAACGGTGATGTTAGGAAGTGGTTGTTAATTGGTTGATTGTGATGGTGATGGTAGGAAGTGGTTGTTAATTGGTTGATGGTGATGGTGATGTTAGGAAGTGGTTGTTAATTGGTTGATGGTGATGGTGATGTTAGGAAGTGGTTGTTAATTGGTTGATGGTGATGTTAGGAAGTGGTTGTTAATTGGTTTATGGTGATGTTAGGAAGTGGTTATTAATTGGTTGATGGTGATGGTGATGTTAGGAAGTGGTTGTTGATTGGTTGATGGTGATGGTGATGTGAGGAGGAGGTGGTTGTTGATTGGTTGATGGTGATGGTGGCCAGAGCATTGATCAACCAACGCGATGGTTGTGGTGAATGGTAGATCGTTCGCTTACCGAGTGTCATGGTTTCTTGTGGCTCACAGCGATACACGGAGAGTTCTTATCCTTCTTATCATCGTCGTTTTCAAGTTATCTGATATTCGGTGGTAAGCGTTTTTGTTGAAAATGAACTGCCAAAAGTCGCTCATAGTCGGGAAATTATTCGCGTACCACGTATAATGCCCTTGTGTAACTCTAGTGAAATGCGTACCCCCAGTAAGCTGTCTTCTCGAACTTCTCCAACATATCTGAGAACTGGCTGGGTTATCACACAGAATTCTTCTTGTTCTTGAAAATAATTGACCTTCTTGACTTCACTCAGACTTTTCAATGCGATTTATTCAGCAATTTCATCATTGATTCAATTACAATTTGATAATATTTGAGCTAATATTGTTCAAACGAATTACCATATAGTATTTCCTGACGAGATTTGAATCAAGAAAAAAATTCAAGTTAACTGCCTCTTGCACACTTCAAGGGCTTAAGAAGCTAAAAAACGCGTTATATTTTATTGAACCTTGACAACTTTCGACCCCCCCCCCTGCCCCGCCAGTCAAAGAAAACCTGCCTCGCCAGTTGCATATGATGAGATCACGTGGCGTGCGATTGAGGTTATTCGATACCGATAGTACTGGAGAACTGATCGTTTTTCGATATTCTTATCGTGATCTCGCCCAGTCTTCCCCCGTGATACTGATTAGCGTCACACTTGACTGGGTCTGTTCATCCCAAGGTACCGCGGCATCCAGTCCGGAAGAGCCGGACTCGCATCAGTCGCTCTCCTGATCGTTTCCGACTCATTGAGGCTCACAGATGATGGCCTCAGAGTCTTAAGAGCCTCAGAGATGATGGTCACGAGCCCATAGTCTTTTTTTGCAAATGACTCCGGAAATGTGCACCTGTTGCTGGCAAATTAAAGAGCATGCAGACGCTTCAAGATGTAATAGCATAACAGTACTGTTAAAAAATTTTGTGTTTCACGTTATACTGCCAAACAATACTGCAGTCTAATGCTTCTAAGGCTGAGCTTTGTTGCTGTTCTAATCGACCATTTTTATTTTTTATTGTTAATGTCCTTGCTTTGTGTGAATTTGTCGTCGTAGATCGCCCGTTTAACGGAAATACGTTGAAAAAACATATTCCGGCCAAATATGTTACCCTTATAAGCTGCCAAGAATAAAACCTTTTATAAGTGGCTTAGAGCCAAGACTAGCCTACTGTTTTCACTTCCCGAAAACGCAATAGGTTATCAACCACTCACGATGAGACCCGAAATTTATGCATAGAATTCGCTTTTTATCACATACCAAGAATGTGGCGCATTATCGGTTGTTAAAAATGTGACAAGTTTTCCCTTTTGTAAAATGTGACTCATTCTCATTTGTCAAGAACGCAACGTGTTGCCTCTCAACAAGCACTTGACTCGTTCTCTTTGTCAAACAGAGAACCCATTCACGGTTTCTTCCAATTTGACGAGTGATCGCTTGCCAAAATTGTGACCCGTTACTGCTTGCCCAGGATGCGACCCGTTGACACTTGCCAGCATGGTTATCACGTCTCGTCGTTCTGACCAAATATGTGCGGCTGTACCTTCGTCAGCCCCTTCACCGAAAATATATAAGCACGTGGCTCAGCGCATTATGAAGTCGGCGTAAACTTGGCAATTCTAGAAACTTTCCAATCCGATAGGGCCTCATGTAGATCCTAGTACTTAGAATTGCAGTTAGTCATCGAAACGTCACACTCCATTATAGCCACACTAGGCATTCAACCCTGTGGCTGCCGTGCACTGCGTGAGGACACTGAATAATACATAATTCGTTCACTGCATAGTCATGGCTCTCTGCAAAGTAACTGTCTAATGCAGAGTAATGTTCTCATGCATAGTAGCGGTCCCAACAGTACGAGTCTATTTTATAGTATCAGAACATTTGCAAGGGCCGTTCATTACGTAGTAACAGCTCACTGTCTATAGCGACCATCTACTGCTGCTTATAACACATTAATACATCGCTTTAGTGTACTGTGCTGTGCACATTGCAGAGTTACACTGCGTTGTGATACAGGCTTTCGATTGGCCTTTCCAGTTTCACTCCCTTCAGTGGCGTCTAAAATGTCTTCACTTGACTTACGAAATCTTGGTTGAAGAATTTTTTTCGTTCAGATGCTAATTAATTTTTTGCTGTTTCCCTTCCTCACATTGTTGTTCACTGTAGGGGCCTAGGGGGTAACGAATTTCGATTATGGCCACTAATCCCCGTTGCCATTTTTGGCCTTAAAGTTTGCTTCGGTTTCACACTAGAACTAATCGATTGCAGAAGACACGGCTGAATTTCACTTATTACCCAGGAGTAGGAACGTGTGAAATTGTGTTAAGTTTTTAAGCCACTAACCTGTCAGCGTCTACTTCCTTTACATTAAAATGCTTCAAAGTCCCTAATTTCCCATCGGGTTACATCCTTACTAACTCAAGGTCCACAAAATGGCGCCCAACAAAACAACGGCCCCAGCAACAATGGCCTTAACTGGCCTCCTGGGGCAGCTGGGGGAGGAAGCATAGCCCCACTGTCTGAGGAGACCTACCCTCACAAGCTGCGCCTGCTGGAGGAGGCGCAGCATATTCCTCTGGAGCGATGGAAGGCCCCGACGGTGCTGGCGTGGTTGGAGATCACCCTGGGCATGCCGCAGTACGGGGCCCTCTGCGCCGAGAACGTCCGCAGTGGCAAGGTGAATAAGACTTTTTTAGAGCATTTTCTCATTTATGGAAAAAGGCGCTATTGTTATTGTGCTCGTCATGTCCGTCCGTCTGTCTGTCCGTCCGTCTGTCCGTGACTTCACGTTTTTGTCGATGACAAAATGCGCTCTCTGTCACTCACTGCAGTGAGTACTGAGTTATATTTTTTGTTCTTAAGGTGCAACTGTCAATTTTAGATGATTTGTAAGCGTTGATAATGATCAACGTCACAAATATGCTTACAATTTAATTTGACTTAATGCAATATTAATAAAATGTATCGCCCGCACATGAAAAAAAGAAAACCTCTTTTGTTGCGAGTTGGCAACAACAACCGAATCGGAAATAACTTTTTTGTAACCGTTTCAGTTACTTGCTACAGACAATCTGGCTTTGGCTAAGAAAGAGTTCTCTACATGCAACTTGGGCAATCGAATAAATTTGACACTTTGCATTCTGCTGATCAGTTCTCATGGGTATGATTCTGAGTGAAATTTTCGACAATTTAGTAAGATTTTTTCTGCCATGCTTGACCTTAATCATGAATGTATAGCTATTTAAACCGGTTACCTCATTACGGAAACGCTGAAAACTATATTCATAGTACTTCTGACTCGAATTTTGCGACCACTAGATTACCTAAATAAGCTCAAGTTATATTTTTTTTGTGTTTACTTCAACTTTTTTGAAATTTGAAGTGCGTTGCACCATTTCTGTACCAATCCAGTAACTTCAGACCACATCTTATGTATTTAGGACAAGGTTTCGCGTTCGCCGGGAATCAAGGCGCTGCGCAATGTTCAGTTTGCTCTTACCAGGCTACTTCTTCACATGACGTAGCGCGAGTTAATCGTGACCACAGGGCCAACTGGGGCATCGTTGAAAAAAATAAATCTAAGCGTGTTGCTCTGTGTGTGTATTCTCAGTCGTGCTATAATTCAATTCATCACAGTAAAATCACAAATCCAGCATTTTCTAATGCATCCAACGAGAACCTGATCGAAGCACGTTGTTTTTTATATAGCTCCATACGCTCGCTCTATTTTCATACGTTCGCTCTATTCTCATATATACGCTCGCTCTATTTTCATACGTTGTTGGTGACTGCAGGTATTGCTGGAGTTGAGTGACCACGAGCTGGAGTCAGGTCTCGGCATCGTGCACCCAATGCACCGCAAGAAGCTGCGGCTCGCCATCGAAGAGTTGCGGGAACCAAGACTTTGCCGGTACCCTGTCATTGCCACGCTCAGCCACACGTGGGTGGCTAATGAGTGGCTCACGGACCTGGGGCTGCCACACTACGCTGAGGCATTCGCTGCACAGCTGGTGGATGGCCGGGTGCTGGATACGCTGACCAAGAAGGAGCTGGAAAAGCAGCTCGGAGTGCACAGAAAGTTCCACCAAGCTTCCATCATCCACGGCATTCACCTCCTCAGGATTGTGCGCTTTGACAGACGGGTAAGAAATTAGTCATGTGTAATGGGTAAACTTCTCATACTATCTTAGTTGGCCAGGATTTCTACATTTTTCTGCTTGTAAGATCAAATGGTTAGTAAAATCTATGTATGACTTTTTAATCTAAAATATCAGCATTATTTATTTCAAACAAATTGGGACCATGCTGACCTAATCCCCAACGTTAGCTTGTGATGCACAGTTCACGTTCAGTTTGTTTATAGTTTCTTGTCACTGCCAAGAAACTAAAAATACGTCGCCTAATCAACTCATCAATCATCACGTGTATCGTTAATTTTTGGGTTCAGTATGACATGACCATTGCATTTTGACCTTGTTGACAAATAAATTAGCTAATATATCAGCAAATTCTGTTTCTACCTGTGAAACACATTGTCGCAAAAAATTATTCATTTCTAAACCTTATATTCCATCAAAATGAAATCAATCTCTCAATAAGCCAATAAATTAGGAAAGTGTAAATAAACCTTCCTCTCACGCCGTATCTCACACGCCGCAGGTGCTGCAGGAGCGTCGCCGCGCCGTCGAGCTGCGCGACGACGACCCTGTCGTGTGGACCAACCATCGCTGGGTGCGCTGGGCCCGCGCCATCGACCTGGGGGAGTACGCCGAGAACCTGACGGGTGAGGGCCTCTGCTTCTTATTATTATTATTATTATTAAATGAAGACAAATTTGCTCTATAAAATTAGTGAAACACAGTCTAAATAGCTATGCATTTTTTTCTGTCCTTACCCTCGTGTAGAACATCCAAGACGCACTTTCGTCGATTCAGTGCTATCTATGTCATTACTTGGACAATATGATCAATTAATTTTTGCAAGTCTGTTTATATTTTTATCATATAAAATCCTTGCTGGAGCTAGAGACAGGAAATTCCCGATCGATTGTTAACTTCATGATTGCTCTAGTCGTAGAGAACCCTTCGTCCGGTCCTAGACTGGTGTTTATTAGATCTTTTGTCGATCGATTGCCTGCTTGTCAAATATATTTCCAGCCTATAAAGACATAGAAAGTTAAGTCGTGACCTTATTTTGACCACAGACAGCGGAGTGCACGGTGGACTTGTTGTGCTGGAGTCGACATTCACGGCGGACACGATGGCCACGGCGCTCGGCATCCCGTCCTCCAAGACCATCATTCGCCGCCACCTCGCCACCGAGCTCGAGACGCTCGTCCTGCCTCAGCGGTATGTTTGAATTCCTTCGCTGGCTTGACACGGCGTTGATCGGGACATTTTTTGTACGAAAAAATGCCGCTGATCGCAAGTTTGAAACGCAACTGCCAAAATAGCGATTGTATAGGAATTTAGAAATTAGATATTATCAATGGAACCCAGCTTTCAAGATACCTAAGGCAAGCACGCAAAGATGCAATGAAATAAAGTCCCTAATATAATCTTTCTATGAGTTTAAAGCGAGTGTAGAATTTAATAAAGAACATACGTATGTCGTTTCTGAATGGAGTTTGTACTGCTGCACCGCATTTTTGTTGTTGCAAATGTTCTTCACGCAAAGGCTTTTGTAAACGATAATAGTCAAATGTTTTTAAGCAACTATTTTTCAAACGTGCAAACCGACCGTGTTTATCGATGGCCATTCGGCCATATTTATTCAACCCCATCTTCAACCTTGTTTTCAACTCTATCTTCAACCCTATTTTCAACCCTGTGTTCAACCCTGTCTGCATTCTTGTTTTCAACTTCATCTTCAACCTTGTTTTCAACCCTGTCTTCAACCTTGTTTTCAACCCTGTCTGCAATATTGTTTTCAACTCTATATGCAACCTTATTTCAACCCCGTTTTCAATCTTGTTTTCAACCCCGTTTTAAATCTGGTTTAAACCCCGTGTTCAATCCTGTCTGCAACTTCTGACGGTGTTGTGCAGGCGGCAGCTGGAGGAGGCCGCGCGCTGTGCTAAGCTGGAGCGTCGGCGTCAGGAAAAACAAGGCTCGGGCGGCAGCCTCGGACGCACCTTCTCCCGCAACGGCGCCGCCTGTCCAGACAAACGCAGGTCTTCCCTCAGGGTGAGGCTTGTGAGGGTCTTCCCTGTGGTGAGAGGTGTTTGGCTCCCCTCAGGGTGAGGCTTGTGAGGGTCTTCCCTNGCTTTGCCTCAGCACTGCTGTCGTCTGCTAGCTTTACCTCAGCACTGCTGTCGTCTGCTAGCTTTACCTCAGCACTGCCGTCGTCCGCTAGCTTTACCTCAGCACTGCCATCGTCTGCTAGCTTTACCTCAGCACTGCCGTCGTCTGCTAGCTTTACCTCAGCACTGCCGTCGTCTGCTAGCTTTACCTCAGCACTGCCGTCGTCTGCTAGGCATACCAGTGCACTGCAGTCACTGCTGACCTTACCTCTGCACCGCGGGCGTTGTTAAATGTAGCCGTCTGTTAAATTTAAACTCCTGCACTGGTCGTAATGAAACTGCGTCATGTAAATCTCAACGGTGCATATAATTGTTCCATTCTGCACACTGTTCTCTTCATGTCAATATCTTCATGAAATTTTTACCTACGCGTACTGCACCTATAGCTGCTAGACGCTGTATTTTTCGCTTGTAGACTTCATCACGGTTGAACTAGTATAGGGTTGACCCATCAGAATCCCATTTTTGCGGATGTAGTTAGTTGTTTGCTTGTGACGTCACTGATCTCAGTGACGTCACGGGCATTAACCAATCACCGAAATGCGATCAAACCAGTGAACCAATCCGTCGCGGGAATGACGGGTTTGTTTACGTTTCTCGATCAACGTGACGTAACAAGAAAGCTGAACTGAAAGACGGAACTTCTCGTGGGTCAACCTTATATAGTTCAACCATGTACTTCACAATCAACTTGCCTCGTAAGATTCATGGTCAGATATGTCATGAACTTTCCACTCTCTTTCATTCCTGAAAATTTTTCATCTGCCAGCAGTGACGTTGAGAGCTCGTCTGTTAAACTTCATCCAATGTCTCCAGTTAACGATGTAATTCTAATTGCATCAAATTAACGTTGAGTTTTCTTCACAATCTTCATCACCGTTATCTCCTTCTAGGCTTCTCTAATCATTCATATCGCTCTTTCTTTCCATTTTCGCGTAATAATCTTAACGCTCTCTCCGTCAATTTTCTTTTATTATTCATAACACTTTTATTTCCATTTTCTCGTCTTAATCTTAACGCTCTATCTTTCCACTTCCTCGCAATAACCTTAATACTATTTTCTCGGATCGTTCATTTCGCTCTCTTTCTCTCAGGGTTCTCTAAGCCGGGCTCTCGGGCTGCGTCTCCGCGATGAGATGAGCTCTGCAGACCTCCCTTCACCCTCATCCTCGACAGCTCCCCCACCACCCCTTCCCCAGGGTCCTTTCAACCCTTATTCACGTCGCCCCGACGTCCGGGGACTCCGACAGTCTCCTTCATTGTCATCCTGTGACAAAGGGGTCCCAATTCGACCGTCTCCTTCTTCGTCCTCATCAATTGCGACTCTTAGATCCAATAATGGGCCTCCACAACGTGACTACAACTCCTCGGACTACGGGCCTTCCCCCCAAGACTACAGTCAACTCCCCCGAGATCCCAGTCAGATCCAGGGCCGAGACTATCCCAGTCAAAGTCAACGAGACTACGGCCAGTCATATTACGGCGCCTATGGAGGGCATCCTCCCCAGAGGGAGTATGGGGGCCCTACACAATACGGTCCTCCATCGCACAGCACCTTCGGGAACAACCGTCCTCGCTCGTCGGTCGTGGCGCAGGGCCTGAAGAATGTGGACACCCACCGCCGCGTCAGGAGTATCGGCGACATGGAGCACGTCACGGTCACGCCTGTATAGCGGTGGCTCCAGTAGGTCAGCTCGATGAACAGCCGCGCTAAATAGACAATATTTCGCTATTTGGTGTGACTAGTAGAGGAGATGATTAAATTCCTGTCTGTATTTCATGGTCGAGCCTCAAATATTATTGCCAACAAATTTAAATAGAAATTCAATTTTCACCGTGGACCTTAATTGTGTGATGATAGCCGCCGTTATCGCCACCACTCCAGGGCAATTCAGATAATTTAGTTAATTCATTAAGAAATAATCTGAGGTAGATTTGAGTGATCGGAATCACCATGAAATGCAGACCTGATCTACACAATCCCGGGCTTCCCTGCTCCTACAGAACGGCAAGTCTATGCTCAGTTGTTCGAAAAGCTGTACTATGATCTCAAACTATTTATTAGATAATAATCTCACTCCCTCTGAAATAATCTCCTGTCTACCTGATGTTTCATGTTTTAACTGCGAATCAAACTTATTGTAATTGTTGAAATTTTTGTGTTTATGGTGACCCATGTTTTGCGCTTTTAGCATATAAATATTTCCACGGCATCGCCAGTCTAAGGAAACTGCTTCCTATTCTCTCAATTTATTTATAAAGGTTGCCTCTTTTCCAAGATAAGGAAGAGCCCTCTGGGCCAACCACATCATTATTTCAAGGCCATATGTGACTAGTATCTCAAATATTTCGTTATCTCAAAAATGTACAGGTAAGGAGAAATATAATACCAAATGACTGTCAATTTTTGTATTTAAATTCACCAAATCTGGACGCTCAATTTGATGTATAAAACTTCGGATCATATTTTAGAATTTAACGTTTACCTATGACTTTATATTTGCAATAAGGAGAGCAGTTCCCATACACCTGTAAGTGCTACTATATCACACCTTGCTACCATGATCGTAAGTTAACTAATAATGTGCATTGCATATCTGTGTTTGGCGGGACCAGGATAAATACGCCCGTCATCGCCTGGATTTACGTGTAAATTTATCACAAGATCGCACGTTGCGACAACTTTCGTCGTAAATTTCGCAGATATTTTGTACCCTAAAACTCAATTACAGCGCTGCACCGCCACATGCACAAACGCTGGAACGGCAGTCGTAAGTTCTACGATGGTCGTAGATTCAGTGTTACTTCGAGAAGACAGCGTAGATTTAAATGCAATTGCATCATTAACATTAAGCAATATAATAGAAAATCAAACACACGTAGCCTGAATTTACCATCACCGTAAAACTTGTGATCGGCATACGTAGTTTTGAGTATGCAATACTCCTACGTCTCCTACTCCTTCAATACTCCTACGTACATTTCGTTGTGTATTTCCTGTGTAGCCTTTCATGTGTGCAGAGTAACGTGTCGTAAAGGGAGCAGGATATCTCTATGTCGTCTACTCCGTTACCATCATTTTACGATAAGACAACAGAAACTTGCCACGCTGGGATCGCACGTTAAATGCAAACAATGGAGGACGAAAGTTCTGCGTAGATTGCGAGTGCGAATTCCCAAATTTCGGAAAATGCACCCTGAATCTGAAATATAATTTCTCTGCAGTTCATTGTCTGGTAATTCATGTACCTAGCCCTTAGCTGGTGATTATTTCAACCAGCTGGTCATTTATCCCTTCCAAGGTGGTGGACGTTCTCTGACCAGCTTTGAGGAGGGAGACTGTTACCATTATCTCTCATAGAATTCTTGGCCTGACTGAACTCTTTCTCGTGTGACAATAAGTGTTAAGAGGGACCATGCACTGTGCAGCCTCCGGCACCCAACACAATAGCCTAAGTGTCAACTCTTAAGCTGCCGAAGCTCAATTCTATCCTCAGTAGAGAATGAATGTGACGTTCATTCCGTAGCGGTTCTCTCCTGAAATTAAATATTCTTAGTGACGCTGTGCATTGGCGCACGAGATGTTCATTTTAAGTTTCAATTTTGAACGTGTAATCCAGACACTCACAAATTGCTTTATTCTCAACACTCACGTTGAGTACAGGATGCATTAGTCAATAGTCATTCCGGTCTATGATCGAAACTAACGAGTGTTTGAACAAAAATATAATTAATAAGATTCTCTCAAAACTTACGATCGCATTGAGGATGGCTGGTATTTAGCTCTGGGTTGCTGAACAGGTTGCAGGTTAGGGAGAGTTCGTAGTTCGCTTCAAGGATTCTGTTGACGTGTGTACGTCTGTTAAATTGTATATAGAACCATGTGCTAAGTTGATTGGCGTGCCGGTTGATCGTACTAGTTTCATCTTAGTCAAGCTCATCTCAAGTATGGTGTAAACTGTAAACTAATGTAGAAGCATACTTTGTGTTCTTGGCAAGACATTAATATGTAATGGAAACTTTTTACGTAAATATGGTGAACTTCGAACCGGTTATCCTCACACCAAGTTCGTTTCTTCTTCGTCCCTTCATTAGTTCATATGCTACCAAAATCCTTCTCTGCCTGGCGAATTACCAATGAGTTGTCATACATCAGAACTAATTTGTTATTAGTATTAGTTATTCAACGACTTGAGTAGAAATTACCTAAAATAAGAATGTGAGCCATTTAAACGATCAATAATTCAGGGAAGATCAGGCAGGCTGGCGGGCTCTAGAAACATGGCGCCGAGCCGCCGACGGTTGTCAACTCATAATACTACCTAGTTCTCATATTACTGTTCATTTACTAGGTAGCTTTTATGTTTCGTTAACTATCAACTAATTAAAACCTAAAATTTTTTAACTATTTACTGGTATTTGTTGATCACTGCATGGTACATGACATTTATTTTTGCTATTTGATTTGCCGATGTGGTGATTAAGCGCACCTATTACTATTAGTCTATGACTCTATGCTCCCATGTATATTTATTGAATTTAATTTATTACATTTAAAGCTATTGATTTTTAAAGGTAGCTTAAATCAGAAACTTTTTGTAAAATCCGTTTCTTCACATTTGTTGGCTTTTAAATTCGTTTCTATGTTCATATAGATACACGACAAATCCCATTCTATGTATTTTCAAATTAATTTTAAGCAATTTTCATTTATGCCCAGTCCACTACATCAAAAAAGTTACATTTTCTCTATGCATAGAATTAATCGCATATATTTTCAATCCTTCTGCCTATTGTTCTTCCGGCCTGTCAATCTCAGACCTGTGAAATGAATTCAAGCTCCTTGTCTCTCCATTTACGATCATCTAAGTAATTAATTAGCATATTCCCCTAAAATAATTTGTCAGCATATTCTTCCATAATGTCTACTTGTGAGCGTTCATGTACAGACCTCCATCTTCTCAGCCCTTCCTTACTAGACGTAATAGTCTAAACCTTGTCCAGTCCTGACGTGCTGCCATGCTTGCTACTTTTGCTCAAACTCTTTATTAGATCCTTGAAGTGTTTACCGCCCCAAATGTCAAATTTGATATTTATTATAATGTCATTTCTTACCTAAAATGAAATTTAATGTTTTTTTTTAGTCCTAGCGCTATGCTGTGTGTTGACGACCATTATTGTATGATATTTTGTCGTAATGTTTTATGTTAGCTGTTGCTTATGCAGGAAGCGAGCGAACTGTTTTAAAACCTTTGCATATCAAGCTACGTTTTATCGATTAAATGTACTCATTTACAAAGACATGATTTATGTGTGACCTCGGCCAAAAATTGAACGATTTTATATTTATTTGTTATTAATCATTATCAGTTTACTGGGATTTGACGCTTGTAAATATTCGGTTACACATGTGTACCAGAGTCAAGAAAATCGCAAACGTCTCCCACAATTTTTTCTTAGGTAAGTTACCCTGTCAATAATGTTTGTATATTGAGGATGCGTTGCCAGTTCTTGTGTGTTCAGTCGTCCAAACTAAACTCCGGTTTACTTTATCTTTAGTCGAAGAGTCGATTTACTTGAATAAATAATATTTCTCTACAAGCCTTGTCGGGTAAAGTATTAGGAAAATTGTTTAATTTTTTATTTTTACGCTGCTTTCGGAATTTGGGATCTGTGTCTATAATAAGCAGGGTAAAAACGACTCGTAAAACACAACATGGGTTTAGAATGTGAAGCTTGTTCTAGCACACATCTACCTATTCGTGCAGTAGAATGTTTTTGTTTATTATTAATTTGGTTACTTTGAGCGCAGCAATCTTAATATTCATTGTAATGCTTTTAGGCATGATAAAAATTTAGACCGTTGTTCGCAGCCTTTGAAGGGTCTCTTATATCAGTCGCAGTATGATGAACTTATTTTGCGGTGATTTCATTGTACGGTTGGGGAATCGTATCACTTGAAAATAAAACAGAGCTTCTAAAAATTTAGTTATTGGTACCTGACAACGCTTGATGCGTCTGCATTTGTAGTGAAAGTCTAAGCAAAGTTTAAGCATAGGCGTGACTGAATAAGATATTATATATTATCTTGATTAAGAGATGATATTTTGCACGCGGGAAGTTTGCATGGATAACGCGTGTGGTTGAGTGTGTGTGCATAGCTAATAGTAATATGAACAGCTTTTTTCTCGGTATGTATTTTTCTGTGAATAATTAACTCATCAATAGAAGTATTGAGGACAAATTAATAAATGAAGACTAAATGTACCATAGATAGATAGTTATCTGCTGAAGCCAGGGCTTCGCTATTGCCTATGTGCTACAGGTTCTTGATTCAGTACCATACGATAAGCTCGTAAAGTGAAGCTGGAAAAGCCTAATTTCATAAACCTGTGAAAATCACCGTCAAAAGAAATTGTACAATTTAGATTGATAATTCCTCCTAGTTGAAACCTAGGGTTGAACCTGCAAAGCTAAGGTCGGCCTCATTTATTGCACTGACGACTTCTTGCGAATGCGAAAATTAAAGTCCTAAATTTACGATTTGCAGGATCTGTTTCCGATATGGAAAATTTGTCTGAAACAGAAAGTATTTGTGTTTTTAGGTCTCGGAGACTTGAAATTTTTTACTATTTTAGAAGTGTACGAACCCTTATTTACACATTAAATTGACCAATTCCAGTCGTAGAGTCTTTATTCACTAGCACCGGGGAAATTATGGTAAATGCTGAAGATTTTAGCATCCGCTGCTCTGCAGAGATTGCATAATTTGTTTCTATGAATTCGCAGCTGTTAGCTTCGCAGTTCGGTAGATAACTTTGAACATAATCACAACGGCCAATTAAACTGTTAATCACAAGCACGATACTACAGTCCGTGTTTATAGGTGCATTTAATGCTAGGCATTGAAGTTTAGTTCTTCAGGAGATACTTTCTGAAGAAATCCCCCCAGAACTGTGGTATATTTAAGAGGAGTCGCAAACTGCTGTGTGGAGACATTCGTCTTACGTCTCAGCGGCTCGTTAATTCGCGTTATGTAAAGAGATTCTTACCCATTTTTTCATGTCTCCATTAAAGTGTGTGATGATTATTCCTCTTTTTATTCAAGTTCCTAACATCCCTTGACCGGAATAAACGGGACATAAAATGTATGATCTTGATATTAATTTCCAATGCATGCATGTTGTATTTCAACCGATAAAAGGGGAAAATTGATCAATAATATTGTAGTTTCAAATCGTTAAATTCAGAGCCTGTGGTCTCAGTACATTTTATTCAAAGATAAGAATTAAATCCGATTTTGTACATCAAATTTTTAAGACTAGTGGTTTTAGGTACTGAATGTAGTGAGACTCTGGACGAATCTTATAAGCTTAAGATTAAAACTTACGAAGAATAGACTAGAACAAACGGGTCTCAGACATTTACGTCAATAGCATTGAGATAAAAGTTATTTTTACTAAACTTAATCAAGCTTCACTTGCCATAAAATGAAATCGTTCAGCGCTTTAGTGCCTCTGAATGCTATCGACATCAATACATTTACATCAAGCTATTTCCGTTATGGCTATTGAGTATTGATTAAAAAAACACGTATGGAAGTTATGTATTGCTAACGAGAAAATACTTCAGTAAATTTACCCACAGCAATACCAATTTCTAAACTGGTATCTTATTCTTAGGACCTTAATCTAGAAGTCTCATACTGAAATATTCTGACTCGCCAATAATTCCAGTCATCCAATTTTAAAGCTCGTCAGACGAGCGAGTGTTCACCGTCCCGCCACCGGTTTGCTGCTAGTATTAACTAAGCATGGTCGGCGCGTGTTGGTGAATTTCTGCTCTTTGAATGGTAGATGAATAACGATCGGCTTTTCGATCATTGGCCGATAGCCGTAGTAATTCGTGAAAAAATCTCGCAACGCATGCTGAGCCCAACTGCTCGGCGCGTCGTCAAAGGAAGAAGCGTCGCTCTTCATAGTAGACACGCCGGATGCTCTCTGCTCCAGTTATTCTTGTGAAATTATAGAAAATAGCAACCTTTTGTGAACCACATGTATGCTCGACTTGCAAATTATATTTCAAATCTAAGAACGTCGCTCTATGCTCGATTTTCAGATAATATTTCAAATCGGAGAACGAAGCCGAAGCGACAAATTCGCGCTACACGCGGCTAACACCCCCCCCCCCCCGTCCGCAAGCGTGGCGTATCAGCAAACTATAATGAGACGTGTTGTTTTTCCAACTTTGTAACCTTCAACGCTTTTGTCCCATGTGTTTGTTCCTGGTGTCAAGATGAATGTCTATTCATTAAATACTAAATGTTCTACATCTGCATATCAAAGACGGGAGTGAAGTGATATCTTGTCGATGGAGGTCCGATGTTTTTTTTTTCTTTTGTTATCCATGAAATAGGGTGGCCATGTTTATTCCGTCATTGTTTCTTATGTAACAATGTTCTCTTGTGAAACATCGAGTAATTCCTCCAATATTTGTCTATCGGCAAGCAATTTTTAGGAGCGAGAAATTCACGGAAACGTCGCTGTTTATGACATAGCAATTTCCCCCACACAAGAGGTGCTAGAGAGGCAAGCTGTGTCATCGTGAGCGACACATCCTTGAAGATACTAGACGCAACTTGGTGGTGATATACTGCACAATGAATCTGGTATCCGCTACTAGCATCTGCTACTTACTTGAACTAAGCAGTAAAGTTGATGGCAGCTACTAGCACTGTGCGACAACACTGATTGCTACTACTTTAAGTACATAGGAATGTTTATATGAGCGCTACACTAATCTCCCTAAATAATTACGATAATCCACTCAGCCCCTTTCAGAGCCATTGTACCGACGAACAGTTTCAAACTTTCATTAAATATTAGTTTTGCGGTCAGTCTTTTTCCTATATTACGTCATCTGCCTGTTGGAGATTCAATTGTTTATCCAAACCATGTAAGCAGCGACAAAACGAGAACTTCCTAAATACAATCTTACTCAGCTCTTAACATTACTGCGAACACCTAAGTAATTTATCGCTACCTAATTCGTAATACTCTAATTCGTCCTCGGCGAATAGCGGTATATAAAGTATGGAGGGAGATCTTGGGCTCGAATATCACCTAATCAAAAGTTCATTGAATGCGCTTTTACTGCATCTGTGAAAATGTCTAACTTTAAGCAATTCTCTTCACGCGCAGACAGCTTTAGCTCTCTGCATGTCACTGCGTAGATGTGACATTTCTTGAAGTCCTGCAGTTCCACGCTACTCGCACGTAGCAGTTCTAAGAACAGTACGATGACACGGGCATTACTGCATGTCTACGGATGGGCTATTTCAATTATCATAATCAACATCACAGTACTCTAATTTTCACACATAATATCCCTCGACATGATTCACTTGTCTCTTTTGGCATACATTTGACTAGTTTCACCATCGTGTTCCAGTTCACCACTTGCCGAAATGTGGCGAGAATCTGAGACCCGAAATTTGAGGGTGGCAAAACCTCGGCTCTGGCCGGGCAAGTCGACCTTCTCTGATGGTGGAATTGGTGGCTTGAGAGATCTGGTATCTGACCGTGAGGTGGGTCAAAACCTCGGCTCTGGCCGAGCAAGACGCCCTCTCAACCACAGTGCTCTAGTGCACCACAGTGTTCAGTGAACCACAGCGCTTTAGTGCACCACAGTGCTCTAGTACACTACAGTGCTCTAGTTAACCACAGTGTTCTAGTTCACCACAGTGATTTAGTACTCAACAGTTCACTAGTACACCACAGTGCTCTAGTTCACCACAGTGCTCTAGTTCACCACAGTGCTCTAGTACTCAACAGTGCACTAGTTCACCCCAGTGCTCTAGTACTCAACAGTCCACTAGTTACAGTACTGCATATCCCTGACAGTAGTACACTTTTCACACTCGACATCGCAGCACCACTTGAAGCGGCAGTTGCACTGCTCCGTCACAGGCTGCTGGATGGTGTGGTAGCCACGGCCGCAGCACAGCAGCCGGCAACCCTCCATGCCGGGGCTGGTCACGTTGCAGAGTCGCCCCACGGTGCCCAGCACGCCCATCCTGCCCAAAGGTTCGCGTAGAGTGATGACCTACCAATAAATGCTTCGAAAAATCCCGCACCGTTCAAACACAAGTTGAAGATATTCACAGACAGTGTAATCAAATAAGCAAAACACAAGCGGCACTTAGACAAGAATGCTCAAAATTAACGGTATAAATTTGTAGAAAATGAATGACGATTTTTAAACGGCACGACTAATAAAAGAGCTCACATTTTATCAGAGATGCAGTAGTTCGGAGATTCGTCAAGAAAAACCAGGTCTCGCTTGGACGGCTTCTTGATGCGAGGGTCTGCGGGCCGCAGCTTCTTCTTTTTCCGGCGTGTCATCATCCTATCAGAACCATAAACTAATAAAAGACAGAAACACTGTGGGTTTTTGCAGCGCAATCGCCATGAGATTAGTGTGACACCGTCACTTCAAATGGCAGTTGCTCAAATCGGTTGATTAACGCTGGAATGTTGGCTAAAATTATTGCCCGTTCGTACATAATGTTGAAATCCTTAAGAACGTCCGTCCAAATGTGCAGGTTCTAATAATTGGTGCTTCAACTACGTTGCGAAAACTCACCTGAACCCTTATAAATCACGAATGAATCATGATAATTTTAATTTTACAGTTAGGAACAATAAACCTAAAGGCTTTTCACCTGACGTGCACGGCGCCATCGAACTTCTGACGAAGAAAGTTTCCGGTGTTCCGGAACGAACTGAGTTTCCTCCAGCAGATCCTCATGGAGCAGGACCCTGAGACGCCATGGCACTTACAGAGCGTCTCCATCTGCCCCCTGAGGGAGCGGCGACCCGCCTCGTTGTTGTGGAGGTTCATGAGACCCTCGGCAGTGTGGGGGTTCTCACGAGCGTCCACGAACTCCTTGCTGAAGAACTCACCGAAGCGGAGGTCTTCCGAGCAGCCGCCCCACTCGAACCTGCGCACCGAACGCAAAATCCAGCAGCCGTTCAAAAAAGTTGAAGATTTTGTTATCATTCCAACAAAGTTTGATTCCCGCGTAGGCCTACAGCAAAGTTCCCGTGTAGGCCTACGTGCCCTATTCTGCCCGCATCGGCCTAGCTGGTTGTGCTTACCTGCCCCGTATTGGCCTAAATGCCTTCACCTGCCGAGTAGGCCTACGTGCCTTCATCTGCCCTGCGTAGGCCTACGTGCCCTTACCTGCCCTGCGTAGGCCTACATGCCCTCACCTGCCCTGCGTAGGCCTACGTGCCCTCACCTGCCCTGCGTAGGCCTACGTGCCCTCACCTGCTCTGCGTAGGCCTACGTGCCCTCACCTGCCCTGCGTAGGCCGACTGTTGATGCGGTCGTCACAGCCACACTCGGCCAGGGCGCCGCTGCTACAGGCGCGTGTCACGCTGTAGGCGACGCCTGCTGCGCTCACGCTGTACACGTACGCTTTCTCCCTGCTGTCTGGGGGACAACACTCATGGTCAATGTCCGGAGGGTACAAAATTCAGTGGTCAATGGATGGTTCAAGTCATAAATTTTTAATCACGAGTCATTATGACCAAAATTGCGAGTCGTGGCACCTCGTACGGTTAGTCATGACTTCATAATCACGAATAATTGAGGCCAAACTCACGAGCAACCATCGCTTTCTCGAGCGCAGCGTGGCTCATCATGATTGCAATTCAGAAATTACTATTCATGATTGCGATTCTCTTATTACTGATCATGATTGCAATTCCCTAATTACTATTCATGATTGCGATTCTCTTATTACTGATCATGATTGCAATTCCCTAATTACCATTCATGATTGCGATTCTCTTATTACTGATCATGATTGTTATTTATTACTGATCATGATTGCAATTCCCATATTTCTAATCATGATTGCAATTCCCCTATTTCTAATCATGATTGCAATTCCCTAATTACCGATCATGACTGCAATTTTTATTACTGATCATGATTGCAATTCTCTAATTACCGATGACACAGACTCACTGATCCTGAGGTGGGTCCCGAAGACGTTGGGAGCATCAGGGAACGTTGAGCAATTCCAGCGATCGTTCCAAAACTGATTCTGGCATTCCTTGATTCCCAATCGCGCTCCTTCAGCTATACTCTGTTGTTAATTTGTGTGGTCAGAGAACAATTATTTAAAATACTTATTGAGGTTCTTAAGTGGTATTTCAGGCTTGTAAAGAAGATAATTAATGCTTAAAATAATAAAATCCTACTCACTAAAGAAATATAACTCAGTACTCACTGCAGTGAGCGAAAGAGAGAGCATTTTCTCGCCGACGAAAATATGAAGTCACGGACGGCCGGACAGACAGACGGATTGACGGACATGGCGAGCACAATAGCGCCTTTTCATAAATGAGAAAATGCGCTAAAAACGAAGTAAGCTTCGATTTCTCTTTTATAGGTGTTGATGATATATGCGATGTCGATCAATGATTAAAAATAGATGAGTGTTATATGGATAAAATGAAACAAACACCAGCTTTCATGCGGGTTTTGTGAAATAAGTCGAACTATTGTTAGAAATGTGGTTATCTCAATGAAACTGTTCAAATTGCAATTAATGTCTATTGTTTTGCTTCAGCAATCAAGATCGTAATACTTCGTCAATTAATGACGACATACTTATTACTGATCCAGAAATTTTTTCTGTATCTAGAATACATAAGTTTATTCTCCCGGATCACCTGACTTAGTCTTCAAGACGATATAACGTTTATCTATTCACACTCAACATCTGAGAACTTCAGTGCAAAGTACAGTCTATAAAGTGTCCACAGCCATTGCAATTTACGGTTATATAAAATGCAATGATATGCACATTTTACACAATATAAATGTAGACACTCAATAATGTATAACTTATTAGTTATATTGCAATTAACGATTACGTGACAATGTAATGATATGTGCATTGTACACACTATGGATGTGAACATCAGTAATGTATAACTTATTGCATTTCAATTAACGATTCTATGACAATGCGATGATATGAACATTGTACACACTATGGATGTGGACAATCAATAGTGTATTACTTATTGCATTGCAATCAACGATTACATGACAATGTAATCGCTGCAATGAACATTGTACGCACTATGGATGTGGAAAATCAATAGTGTATAACTTATTACATTGCAATCAGCGATTACACAACAATACCATGACATGTACATTGTACACACTATAGATGTGGACAATCAATAATGTACAACTTATTGCATTTCAATTGACGATTTTACGACAAGGCAATGATATGTACATTGCACACACTATGGATGTGGACACTCAATAATGTACAAGTCCCGACCCTGAGTATGTTCCACGACAGAGAGCATAGCTGCTTCTGTCTGTCGACGAGGTAGGTGAGGCTGTTGCAGTGGTTGCGGTGCTCCAGCGCACTCCATGCCCGACCGTACTCCACGTGTCCACTGAACCGTGCACTGTTCATCGCCAGCAACCTGTCAGTTGGTGGTAAATATTAGCTTAATATAACTCAACGCGTTGGTAATAAGTTGTGAACATCTAGAGATTCAAGTCAGTGATGTACGGTGGTCAACATCCGTGGACTCAACTCAGCAATACGCTGAAACCAACATCCATAGCCGGAAATCGGCTGGCCAGAGAATTAGAACCTATAGTGAAGCATTTCAACCGACGTACGTACATCTGAGTGTGTGGCAAACAACACGTAAGTGTTGCTGGTAATCGAATTCCTTTTTAAAGCGCTTGCAAACTCTGATTCCTCGCACGTAAAAATTTTTGAAACCACTGCAGCAATGAATTCGCGTGGATGAATTAACCTAACCGAAGACAACCAATTAAAGTTACAACACTGCAGCTCAGCTACAACTCATTGTAATAGGTACTAAACAGTAGCAGCTACTATACAGCAATTAACGCAGCGACAGAGTAGCAGAGCTACAACACAAAATAGCTACATAACAGCAGTTTACTGTCATAGCTGCAGCTACAACACAGCAGCAGCTACAAAACAGCAACAGCTACAGAACATCAACATCTACTTAACAGTAACAGCTATACAACACAGCAGCAACTTCATAACAGCTACAGAACATCAACATCTACTTAACAGTAACAGCTATACAACACAGCAGCAACTTCATAACAGCAGCGGCTACAATACAACAGCAGCAGCTACGAAACAGCAACAGCTACAACACAGTAGCAGCTACAAAACAGCAACAGCTACAGAACATCAACATCTACTTAACAGCAACAGCTACAACACAGCAGCAGCTACAAAACAGCAACAGAACATCAACAGCTACTAAACAGCAACAGCTACAGAACATCAACAGCTACTAAACAGCAACAGCTACAGAACAGCAACATCTACAAAACACCAACAGCTACAAAACATCAACAGCTACTAAACAGCAACAGCTACAAAACAGCAACAGCTACAAAACAGCAACAGCTACAAAACATCAACAGCTATGAAACAGCAACAGCTGCAAAACAGCTACAAAACAGCAACAGCTACAGAACAACAACAGCTACAGAACATCAATAGCTACAAAGCTGCAGCAGCAGCTTCGAAACAGCAACAGCTACAGAACGAAAGCAGCTGCAACACAGCTTAAGCAACAACATCCTGGGTTGTAGAACATCTTCCCTGTGCGTTAAGTTTATTTTTTCATGTCGAGGTCGGATTTCAACTCATGCCTGGCTGATCACCGACCGGTTCTGGCAGGGTGATGTACAGCAGAGATAATTAGCAAAGCGCTGTCTATAACTAGACTAATAAATATACTCAAATAATCGACCAGTGTAGGACACGCCTAACTGCATGAGAAAAACTTTTATCATGCCTAATATACTACTCGTATGCCTCGTATATATAGACCAATTAAAGTACATTTAATATATTTAGACCAATTAATGCGGCATTGTCTATTCAAGGTCGTTATCAAGTTTGAGAATTTGTTGGTATAATATTATGCACTGTTTGTAATTAATTGAAACAAAACAACACTTGTAAAAATACATAAGTAGAACGTTACGTGTCGAAGACGGAGCCATGTTGCCGTAGAATTTTGGCGAAGCGAGTGACATCCCGGGATCGAAACATCAGAGTTTACTACCATGTCAGGACCCCCTTCTGCCATTACTACGTCAATGATGGTCAATAATATTCATGTATACGAGGCTTTCATGAGCATCGTTATACATTTCATGTCCGACACATCGACCATTACAGCGATCACGGCGGCGTCATCCAGCCAATCTCTGCCCATGCTGTCGCATCGTATCAATGTTATATCAATCACGTATCGTAATCGGTAAAATTGCAATAGAATTCCTCACATTTTCTGTGTAGCCAAAACTGCATAGACATTTACGCAGAGTACATTAATCTTGTTCCATTCCTGGGTTAAACCAACGAAAGCAATTTAACCCTGCGATTTACCTGTTAGATCTTAAATTTGGTTTCTCTATACATTTCCTTGTTTCAGCACGAGCAGTGATAATATCTACTCATATAATTAATCTTATTAAATCACAAATTCACCAAAAATTTACAAACGAAGAATACGCCTAGTAAATTCTCCACATCCTTTATGAAAACTTGTGAATTTACTTGAAGATTCTTTATATCTATAATCTTGGCGATGCCTCCTTTGTCATAAGCTTTAAAAAATAATAACGGGGCTGTCGTTATTATTTTTTCAACTCTGGCCCTTTCTTCGTGATCAGGAATGAGCGGCAGCCTCGTATCATTTGTGGTCTTAAGTGCTGCGCTCATTTGTCCTCCGCTTGTGCATGCAAGGGAGTATGTTTGTGGGTTGCTGAGTATACGCGCTAACCGAGAACGCGGCTTGCTCTGCACACACTCCTCCAAAAAAACCTCTCCGCCCTGCATACACTCCTCCAAAAAATTTCTGCTCTGCACACTCGTCTCTAATAAAACTCCTCCTGTTCTGCACATACTCCAAAAAAATTCTCCACTCTACACACCCTCCTCTAAAAACGCTTCCTGCTCTGCAAACCCACCCTTCAAAAAAAAAAATTATCCTGCTCTGTACACACTCCTCCAAAAAAACTTCTGCTCTGCACATATTCTTGTCGACGGATCAATTATTTGACGCAGCACGACAATCTCACTGTCTGACAAAAGCGCAGCACAACAATCCCTCTGCTAGACAAAAGCGCAGCACAACAATCCCTCAGCTTGACAAAAGCGCAGCACAACAATCCCTCAGCTTGACAAAAGCGCAGCACAACAATCCCTCTGCTAGACAAAAGCGCTGCACAACAATCCCTCAGCTTGACAAAAGCGCAGCACAACAATCCCTTCAGTTTGGCACAAGTTCTACCCACGAAACATAACGATCAGTTGTTAGTTGTCATCGCATCGCTAAATCGATCGTTGCCTCAATGTGAGATCGTAACCAGAGGGCTTTCTAAGACCCTTATGTATTTACAACATTTTTATTACTATTTTTTATGTGCATAAAAGTTTTACGCACGGCAATATATATTCTTGTAGTGACGTCGCAAGTTTGTGCTTCCAAAATATAGAACATTTTTCCTCTTTGGAGCTAAGATATAGAATTTTTTTTTCACTACGCCATAAAGTTGTGAAAGATGCATAAGGTAGTGTGATTTATAATCAAACTGTTTTCAGAAATCCGTTTATAATTCTCAGGTTCTTCTAATTGTAATCTCACTGGTACTTGCTGAAAGTAATCATGTCTTTTGGTTTTGAATGACGCAGAATCTTTTACACAGGCTTTAATACTCATTAAATTTTTTACAATACGGCTGAAATGTAAATTAACAAAAAAATTAATTTCTTGGCACTGCCCTTTGGTAGTTCGTAACTTTATAACCCCGATGAAGTTATAAAAATGTCTTTAAAAAAATCACACATGAAATCATGCACAAACTTATTTTTATGAAACATTGATAAAGCACTCATCTAAATGAAGTAGCCGGTGTATTTTATCATGTCGACAACATAATGGTTCCCAAAGACATGATGGAATTATACCCAATAAATTGAGATACAAGATAGAATAATATCCTAGATGGCGACAGAAAAATGCAATCAATTTCAGTAAATTAATTTATGTTTATAATTAGTTATATCAAAGGCTTATCAAATCGCCTTAATTACGAACGCCGAATTTCGCCACCACTTCGCAAACAATATTCGTACCGTCACTCATATAATTCATTCAACAAGTATTAATAAAGCCTGTTTGCCAAAATTTCAAATTAACGAAGAATTTAAAAGCGAAGAAAATGCCTAGTAAATTCGCAATATTTTCGCTGAGAACGTTAATTGAAAAGTTGTGGGATAAAGGGACAGTCAAGGATATGAGACTGTCAGGAGCTCAAGTGTTGGCATGAGAAATGACTCAGTTAGCCCTGATCACACACCAGGGATATAGGGCTGGCAAGTGTTAAGGAGAGGAGAGATTCAGGTAACCCTGATCACATGCTAGAGATATGGGGCTGTCAAGTGTTAAGGAGAGGAATGATTCAGTTAGCCCTGATCACATACCAGGGATATAGGGCTGGCAAATGTTAATTAAGGAGAGGAGAGATTCAGGTAACCCTGATCACATGCCAAGGAAACGGGGCTGTCAACTGTCAAGGAGAGGAGAGATTCTGTTAGCCCACATCACATGCTAGGGATATATGGCTGTCAAGTATTAGGGATAGGAATGATTCAGTTAGCCATGATCACATACCAAGGATATGAGACTGTTAAGTGTTCAAGTGTTAATGAAAGGACTGATTCAGTTAGCTCTGATCTTATACCTGTGATATGGGGCTTGCACTGAACACATAAAGGGGATATGAGACTGTTAAGTGTTCAGATGTTAATGAGAGGACTGATTCAATTATCTATAATCACATGCTAAGGATTCACTCACCACCAAGCAGCGCTGGAGCTGCAGGCTGACAGCGTCAGCAACAGCAGCGACAGTTGACACTTCGCCCTCCTGCTTCTGCTGGACATCGTCGCCACGGCTCGACTGTAGGAGAAAATTTTCAGTGTCTCAATTGTCGTGTATAATCAAGCGTCACTGAACGTATCCATGCGAGGAATAAATTTCATATTGTAAATTTTCCTGATTTGTTATTGTGATTCTTATTGAATAGTGATTCATATTTATTCACATTGCCATTTATATTGGGATTTCTTTTTCACGGAGGACAGCATCAAAAGAAGACCGTGCTTAGCGGGAAGTGAGCACTGAAATCGTGATTAAAAAGCTGGATTTCTTCAAGTTAACATTGCAATCATGCTCTGATTAGCATTGAAAGTAAGCCTATTGTACACTAAAATTACACTTATTTTTCCAAGCATGTTCATAGAAAGTTGTAATCTGCATCCCTGCACAATTCGCACTGAGAACAGGAAGGCAGCAGAAATTCCCCGCGGGAAAAGTGTTCCGTCAATTTGGTTTGGCCTGACAAGGTTCTTACGTTGGCGGCGCGTGGGGGGAAAGCCAAATCCCTGAGGGAGGTTTAAGTCAATTCTAGCAAGACGTTCTTTCATTCAGAAACCGAGCTTACTTCATTGAGGCACGGGTAACACAATAGCTTTCTTTGCAAGGGCTTGATTGACTCGCTCTCATAATTCAGGCGGCAGGTCGGGCCGCCAAACAAAGCATCCATATTACAGCGGCTGCCGCGCGCCACTCCAGACTCCAACTTACTCGTGGAAATCTGGAAAATCCCGCGTCCTCTCACTGACTGGCGACGCCAGATTTCCCCTGGATTTTGCATCGCTCTTCAGCCGACGGGTTTTTCCTATGAAATGCGTGAATTTTAGTGAAGCGAAGAAGCGGATCGGGACACATCGGCGCGACGTAGCAAATATTGCGCGTCTCGCCCTGAAGAAATAAACGTGGCCCGCGGTCCCTAGGGGGAGGGGCTCTGCGCTTAGTCAGCAGTCGAGTTAAGAACGAGCGCGACAAAATCTGGTCCAACTTACCAAGCAAAAAGGAAACCTGATTGAATGCGTACGCCTGATTTGTCATAAGACAAAATACGAGCTTGCCTGGTGAGAGGCTTAGCGAGTGCACCACAGCATAGGGATGATGAAGAGAACTCAAAAATGTATTTAATTTTGTCAAATTTCAACTGCAGTGCGAGCTACCGGTATTCGGTCATGAAACAATGTATAGGTCAATATTTTCTAACCCCAAAATCTAACTTCCTTCATAAAGCAAATATTTATCTTTTGAAAGTTTAAGATCTTGTGACCTATAACGTTTTGTTACGTCACGCGTAACGCGCTGTAACGTCACGCATTTCACGCGCTGTAAAGTCACACGTTGACCTAGGCTACAAACGAATTGCGTTACTCTGTTCGATAATCGCTCACGTTTTTTGAGTATAGCAAATTTGAGAACGGTGTTTAAGATTTCAATTTTATATTTTCATATTGGCCAATGACATTATATGAGATGAATTCGGCACTCAACATACAGAAATGCATTCAATCAATCATGAATATTCATGCATATACATACAAAATACACTGCATGCATATATATACATACATACCCACATTCAAGCAATGCAGTTAATAACAAAATAGAGATTTTAATAATTCTTCACATAAAATAACATGCGTCGCAATTACCTGAAAATACTACGCGTCGTTTGACGTTTTCTCGTCCGACGACTTAGCTTCGTCATGATAAAGAATTTTGACGTCGAACAAAGCTGAGGACCTCGCAAGGATCATCCATTAATTCATGCGTCAGCTTAATAAATATTAATCATGTTTATTGCAGAATTCCAGAACGACGCAGTTATTATTGATTCAATGACTTGGCTATTTTTCGATTTTTATAGAATTGTGCCAAGTTTGACATGAACATTCCATGATTGGAGCATTTATTTAATTGAGTGGGTCGAGGGTATTTTGTTGTATGGGGAGACGAGGCCATTGAGACGAGGAATATTTTCAAGGATGAGAGGTCACTTTAGCTGCCTAATTGATATCAGGAGTAAGACCCCTGAGGCTCCATTAGAGTGCGGGGGATTGTGCGCTGTATTTTGGTAAGATCGAGTGGGGGAGGAATGGGTAAAAAAGACGGGGATGTGGGTGAGGATGGGGATAAAATTGTGGAATCAGAACAGGAAATTCCCCCAAGTTATAAGGTTGAATTTGAGGAGTGAAGGGGCTGAAAGTTATAAAAGCGATTTATATTGCCTTTTGATTATATGATGCAAATTATTATAAATGATATCATATGAGAACCTTGTGAAGGTTATCATTCATATGTCATCTTCTGTAATCTGCTTAAATGTTTCGAGAATATGGCCTGCAATTTACAAAAAATTCTCATAACGTCGTTTAATTGACACAGTTTTGGTTGTTTAAAGAAGTATACATTTTTGTATCAGAGAATAAGCCAATTTGATACCTTCCGATTCATTAAACGACTGAATAATTCATTAACTGAGAGAAAATTCCCCTCTAGTTAAGACCGTACGTGAACCGTGTCTTCGGTTATACCGTCAGTTAAAAGAGATGCGTCGAGCCCGAGAGGCTGGTCTAACGACCGGAATGGGATACAACTGCATTCTGCAAAATAAAAAATGAACTCTAACTTGCCATGGATCTCAAATTAATTGTCACGTCCTCATGAGTGCTTCGTCCGTAATTAATCGAATTTTTACTGTGATTAAATTATATTTACTTTTAATGTCTAATCTATGACAATAACGTATAGTTGTCAATAATGAAGCTTCCTGTAATCAGACGCCTGGTATAATTGTTTGAAAAATCGAGATGGCTTATCTTGAAGTTGAGAAGAAGGACCGTTTAAATGGTTTCACATAGTTGGCCGAACTAATAAAGTCTTTTTGAAACAAAAATCTGATAATAAAAATTTATTACAAATATTATAAAAGTTAGACAGATGATTTTAGTTCGTGGTCTAAATTTTCTCTTCAAATTTAACTATAATATCCTTGAAAATTATCACTCTCACATAGCATTATCGTCAAATTTACGAACGCTCATTTATAATTTGATTTCGGAATGCAAAGATGATGTCAGGCGAAAAAACACCGAAATTGTGACGTCTGTCTTTCCAGAAAATTATCCTGCAAGTCGTAAGAACCTTGCGCACTGGGAGCGACGAGCCAAACTTCACTGTGCGCACGCTGAGCGCTGAGGACGGTAAGCGCATTAGCGTTAAAAATGCAAGACTTCGACGCGATCTGCAAACAGCGCTAAAGAGGCAGCGCTAGAGTCAGGCTGCGCTATAACCGAGTCAGGCTGCGCTACAACTGAGGCAGGCTGCGCTATAACCGAGTCAGGCTGCGCTATAACCGAGTCAGGCTGCGCTACAACTGAGTCAGGCTGCGCTACAACCGAGTCAGGCTGCGCTACAACCGAGGCAGGCCACGCTATAACCGAGGCAGGCCACGCTATAACCGAGGCAGGCCACGCTATAACCGAGGCAGGCCACGCTATAACCGGGGCAGGCCACGCTATAACCGAGGCAGGCCACGCTATAACCGGGGCAGGCTGCGCTATAGCCGAGGCAGGCCACGCTATAACCGAGGCAGGCCACGCTATAACCGGGGCAGGCTGCGCTATAGCCGAGGCAGGCCACGCTATAACCGAGGCAGACCGCGTTAACATTAACCCTAAATGGTACATGTCATTTAATGCTGGAGAGGCCCTATATTTTCATGTTGGTAGAGCTTACGCGCATGAGTAGGTTCTAGTATGTACGTATACAGGGATACAGGCGTAGTACCATAATATGCAAATTATATATTTTCCTTGTGCTATTGAAAATAATCTATACGCATGCTTTGTTTAGATATATTTTCATTGAATGTTAGCAGCTACCTGTATTAAATTGGTGAAAAGATTGATTATGTCACAATTTAGGTCCTGTGGGTTTGTACGGAAAAGGCTATCGCGCCAAAATAAACTAGAAAGTGTTAAATGGCCGAAATTTTAATATATCAGAAGAAAATAATGCGTAGTAAAATTAAATCATAGGCGTCCAGATGTCGAATAAATTAAATTAAAAACATTAATTGAAATTAATTAACTTTCGAATGCATCCTAACAATTAATAGTTTGCCTTTGTCTAATAATTTTGGACAGTAAAACCTTCGATCAGACACCAAAATCCCCGTCAATTGTTGATGTCTACGGGTATTAGGTCAACAGTACTTTTCCTTAGCGTGGGCATTGAGTGTTGCAATATTCAGTGTAGTGGAAACTTATATATGACATTAAATATTTATTATTTGTAAAAAATTGATTATCATAATGAGGTGCGAGACAGGGCACAGGGCACATTATTTAACTACCAAGCTATAACGAACGGGCATTAATTCATACGATTTAAGGCGGTCGCGGCGCATGGTGTGGAAACATGGATAGTGTTATCAATGAAGTAATTTCCAACGTTAAAGTTTTCTTTGTCTAAAATTACTGCAAGAGGATAAAATTATAAGCTTCTACCTACAGTATATATCACCAACCGTCGTCTAATGATGGTCAAGTAAGATGAAGAAAGCAAAATGGCGCCCAGAGAAGACTGGGAGAGACGCTCAACAAAATGGCTTAGGATTAAATTACACAGTCTGCTCCAGTTGACGGCAGCATGCGTGTAGCTGCAGAAATAACTGACAGAATGTGCAGCAAAGAGATGTAAGAAGTAGACTCAGTCAAATCAATGCTGAAACCTTAGATTTCTATCAAGCGGCAAAGGGAAAATGAGCTAAAATGTAAGCATATTCTGCTGGAGCATTATAATTAATATATAATTAATCCCAAAGAACGCCTATGGTATACCAAAATCCAGCTAGTGGGCGAAATTGCAATTAAGATGAAACAATTTGAACGAAGATGGGAAGTATAATAAACTTATTGGACTCCATCTTCGTACCTCCACTGCAACACAAGCTCTCCTGCAACACAAGCTCCCTGCAACA